ACTGGCCTGACCCTGCCATAGACTCTGCTGACCTTTGCCGAGAAGTCAGGCACCATGCACAAGTACCCAACATGGCGTCGGACTCTGCTTCGCCGTGCTAGGGAAGAGGAGATGAAGAGGTTCTCCAAGGCCCAGGTAAGGCCTAGGGGTTCCTGGAAGTTCTGATGGGGTCCGAGTTCTGAGACTAGGGTTCAGAGCTCCTCCAGCACTCTATTCCTGAGCAATCTGAAGACTCCTGGGCCTCCTGTCTTGTACCCCTCAGGCCATCCAGCGGCGACTAAATGAGATCGAGGTTCATCTGAGGGACCTGGAGACCCTGGGCATGAAGCTGGAGCAGGCCTTGAGGAGCCAGAGCAGTGAGTGAAGACAGGGGAGGGACAACCTAGGACACCCCTCTGCCTCCTAGCACTGTGTTCAGCCCCAGCAGTCCCTCAAACCACCAAACTTGGGTTCACTTCTCATGCCCAGGACTCCTGTGACCCTGGCTGGAGGCCTCCTGACCACACCCCCCACCCCCACGTCTTCCTTCCTGTCAGGTTCCCCAGAACAGCAAAAGGCACTCTGGCTAGATCAGCTGCTACAGCTCGTTCAGAAGAAGAACAGCCTGCTGGCTGAGGAGGCTGAGCTCATGATCACGTAAGGGGCAGGGAGTGGTGACAGTGGCACGTGAGCCAGGCCCCAGCCAGGTGCTTGGGCCCCCTGGACAGCTGTGCCTTTTTCATCCCTGCCTTCCACAGGGTGCAAGAGCTGAACCTGGAGGAGAAACAGTGGCAGCTGGACCAGGAGCTACGAGGCTACATGAACAGGGAAGGTAGGGGGGCTGTGGGGAGGCAGACATCACGGGACTGGTGTGCACAAGCCTCATGACCTCAGATACTCACCAAGCAACATGGTCCTCTATTCTGAGTACCTCTGAGGCAAGTCAGGAGGAAGCCACAGGATTGGGGCTCCAAGCCCCTACTCTGCCTTCAGTTCCATCAGGGCTGTACCACTGGGCTTTTATGCAAGATTTCCTTTTAAAATGGTGCAGCTACTAAACAATGCTAGAAAACCACTGGTGCTGACAAACCTAATTTTACAGCTTAGGAAACAAAGCCCGGGTTTTAGAAGTCACATAGGCTGAGATTAGGTCGCACCTCTCCTGCCTCCCTGCCCGGTTCCCTGTTCTGTAACCTTCGTCTCCTCCCTTCAGAAGACCTAAAGACAGCTGCCGATCGGCAGGCTGAGGACCAGGTCCTGAGGAAGCTGGTGGACGTGGTGAACCAGCGGGATGCCCTCATCCGCTTCCAGGAGGAGCGCAGGCTCCGTGAGCTGGCCTCGGGGCCCGGGGACCAGGGCTAGAAGAGGGTGGGCTGCCTGCCTTCTTCCCTACAAAGAAGACCACCTCCCCCCAGGACACTGCCACCCTGCTCATCTGGGCCACCTGGGAGAGGGCCTCACTGTTTGTAATAAAAATGTTTCTGCTGCGAACAGGACTTGGGCTGCTTACAGGTGGGAGGTAGGCAGTGTGCAGGGAGGTCAAGGGATGTGTAGGAGCCTGAAGGTCTATGTTGTGACAATCACACTGACGCTTGGCCCCAATCGCGGCCTCTACAAGGTAAGAGGCAGAGCCACAAAAGTGTCAAGCTTTATTGTTCCTCAGCTCTATCCCCCTCCTGCTGCCCCAAGAGCGGGGCTGGCTGAGACTCTGGGCCCAGGTCCTGGGCGTCCCTTGCCCTTCCCAGCACATGGTGGAGCTCAGCCCGGGCCCGATATAAGCCCTTGGCCTCCTGCATGTGGAAGAGGTAGACTGCACCGGCCCCCAGCACCAATCCTACACTGGGGGCCCAGAGCAGTAAGGCAATTTCCCTGACCCCTCCTCCAGCCGTCAGGGCACACAGCAAGGCCAGGAGAAGCAGCCCGAGACCAGTCACGTAGCCAGCAAAGGTGGCCCACCAGTGAGCTTGAGCCATGCCCAGGCCCAGTTCTGTCCAGGCCTCCCTTAGCACGCTGATCAACGGTGACCTCTCTTCTGCTCCTAGAACAAGGCAGGGCAGTGGGGCAGGAGAGAGAGGGTCAGACTGGAGGGGCTGCTTTGTGGTGGGGAAGGACCAAGGGAAAGGATGGGGGGTGACTCACCGTGAGTAGGGCTGGGGTTGTGCTGTGGGGGGCTGTGTCTCACACACAGAGTAGCCATCAGGGCCTCATGATCAGAGAAGGGGGTGCCACTGTGATGGTCATGGCCTGTAGTAGTCTTGAGAGTCTTACAGGAGATGTAGAACCTAGAAACCGCCTAGAGAAAGTAAGGGCCGGAAAGAAACACATTTAGGGGCCTCTTCCCAGAGAACCAGCTCATGGCTATCCCATTCTCCAGCCATCAGTGACTTAAGACTAGACTAGTTGAGCAGGGGATCAGCGCAGGCTGGTAAGAGATGAAGGGACAGTGGGGGAAGGCATGTTGAGGGGAGAAGCCTGACCTTAAAAAGTACGTAGTCGATGCGGATGCCAGATGGGAATGGCTCCAGCTCACGCTGGCTGACGTAGCAGTTCTGGGGTACCATTGTACAGCCTTCTTCAGAGCCCTAGGTGAATAGCTGGCTCATGCTAGGATGCAGGGGAAGGAGGAGGGAAGAGAAGCTGGGGGTGTAGGTGGGGAAATAATCAGGCAGGCCCTCACCTTGAAGTCCCGGGTCTCGAGATAGGCATCATGCAGCCCCGTCCACTCCTTCAGCAGGCGACAGCCCAGGTCCTTCGGGTGCAAGTTGAGATCCCCACACAATAGAACCACGTCAGCCTTCTTGGAGGTATGGCTGGGGGAACCAGGTTGGTGAGGCAGGAATTCTTCCCTCGCCAGCTCTGCCCTGTAAGTGGGGCCTTGGCCACCCCTCAGCCCCTGGACCCCAACCCGCTTCCCCTGTTAAGCTCAGGCTCACACACTGGATGAACTGGGCCAGTTCCCAAGCTTGGGCCACACGATGTGCTAGGTAGATGTCCTTCTGTCGACTGTACTCGGCATGGAGCTGAGCAAGACAGATGAGATTGCAGCAGATGAGACTGAGGGTCCCAAGGGCAGGTCTAAATTAAGCTTGTGTCTGTCACTTGCCATAGTGCTTGGTAAAAAAAAATGGGTGAACCTTGTCTAATGACCTTAGGAGATCCTGCTCCCACACCTCACCCCCAGGCTGCCCAGCTAGAGGAGTCCCAGCTCTCCCTCCAGGACCAGGCTGCCTGTCCCAGCCCTAAACACCGCTGGCTTCACTCACATGGGTCACGTAGGCATTGAGCACCAGTCCACTCAGATGGAGCACCAGCAGCCCCACAGCCTTCCCACAGAACCAGTCCCCATGATAGATCTGCAGGTAGGAGGGGACAGGAACTCAGGGCACTGCTACCCTCTTTCTGCCCATCCCCTGCAGCCCTAGGAAGGCTGCTTCCTTTACCATGTGTTAGTGGGGGGTGGGGAGGGTATGTGGAAGAGGTCAGGCTTACCATGTAGGGGTAGCCATTGAGGGTGTAGATGTGCTGGGTGATTTCCTGGATTGGATGTTTGGAGAAGACACAGAGGCCACTACCAACGATGCCACTGAAAGCCAAGTCCCGATTAATAGCCAGAAAAGTAAGGAGAGAAATACCCAGCCTTCTTCCCCTCCCTTGTCTCCTAGCTCTTATCAGCTACTTTTTTCTCTCTTTGCTGTTGGGACCAGCCATAACACAAAGCTCAAAGCAACAACCTTTGTGGGGTGATAGGGTGGCTTGATAATAAGGCTGAGAAGAGCTGAAGAGCTAGGATCTTCCAGGTTCCACCCTTTCCTGCTCCCACACCCAGAGGAGAGGATCTTGGGGAAGAGGGAGGAGGGTGCAGGCAGGTTAGGGAAGGGCTGGCTGGGCCAAGAGCCTCCTGGTCTGAGAACAGGCTTCCAGGCCAGTAGGCTTCTCACCTCCTAAAGTAGTGGGCAGCTGGGTAGGTGGGTGACAGCTTCTGTCTCAGGTACTGGAAGTCCTGCTCACTCCACACCTGAGGGAAAGGGTGAGGATACCTACCTGGCCCTTCCCCCGGACGAAAGTGCCCCCCAGTGCCCTCCGCCGCCCCTCCTCCCGGCGGGCCAGGGTGCCACCCCAGCTCTGCACAACCCAACCTCCTGCAGCAGAGCTAGGTCGAAGCTCTCCATGTTCAGAAAGTCTCCCAGGCGCTTCACGCGGTCGGCCCGGTGCTTGCTCAGGTAGGGAATGCCCCTGAGGACGAGAAGGGCCGGGGCAGGTGCTGGCTGGGGCGCTCAGCTCTCAGGCCACCACCGGGATCCCCGGGACCCCGAGACTGCAGGACAGGGTAGCGCCGTGGCCCGGATGTGAGGAAGGCCTCCCTCCTCTGGCCGTGTGGCTGCGAACCAGACTGTGGCCCCGGACCCCACCCGGCGGGCGCACTCACCAGCAGTTGAGGCTGAAGACCCTCAGGCGCAGGGAGAAGTTGGGCTTCATGGCGGGGACGCTGCGGGGCCGCGGGATGGCCTGGCCTCCCCAGCGATGGCCGCGGCGGGGACGGGTGCGGGCGGGGGGCGGCGCGCACAGGTGGTCGGTCCCGCCGCCGCGCTCCGCCGATGGCCGCGGCCCCCAAGCCGGCCCAGATCAGGCCCAGGGCCGGGCGCTCGGCGCCGGACCGACTCCCGCGTTACCCGGGCAACCGGCCCGCCAACCCGGAAAGGCGATCTCCCGCGAAGTCGCGCGCCGACGGGAGGCAAGGGCCGCTCGTGAGGGCCCTGGGACGGGGGCCTCAGAGGGGGCCCGGGCGGGCGGCGAGCCGGGCTGAGGCGCGCGGGGCGCGGGGCTCCCGGCTCCTTTTCACCGAAGCCCGCTCCTGGCCGCGGCCGCCCGCACGCCCTCTCCCACCTCTCGCCAGCAACAGGCGCAAACTTAAGGAAAGGCCGGGCCGTCGCCGCCCGCCCCGCCCCAAACCCGCCCCTGGGCACCCCCATCCTCGTGAGCGGCGGGGGCGGGGCCGCGCGGTTGCCCTGGCGACGGGCAGTGTTTGTGCTCCGACTAGTCCCCGAGCGCCGCCATGGCGAGCCCGCAGCAGGGTGGGCCGAGGTCGGTCCCGTGCCGCCCGCAGTCGCCGCCCGAGCAGCCGCTGCAGGTGAAGGTGGTGGGGCTCTTCAAAAGCTCCAGCTTTCAGATTGCGAAGAGCGCAGCTGAGGTAACCGCCAAGAAACCACTGTGCGAGCGCCTCCTCCTGCTTCCCGGTCGCGCGCCTCCTGGTGGTGGCGGTCGATGTTCGGGGAGGGGGTGTCCCGGCTGGGCGGGCTCAGTCTGGATGGATCCGAGCGTATAGGGGCAAGTGCGGGTCCCGGCGGGCGTTCCACTTCGAGAAGGGCGACCTTTAATGGGGGATCCGCGCGAAGGAAGCGTTCAGAAACTTGTTGGGAAAAAAGGTAACTCCCCCATCTACATATCTACACATTTTATTCCACATTAATTTTTAATTGAATTATCGATTTTTAAAATTCATATAAAAATGTTTACGGAAAAGAGTTACCGTATAACTAGCTGGTTTTTTACAAACTCCCTCCTCAAGTCTTCTTTGAAAACTATTCGTGCGTGAAGGTTTTTTTTTTTAATTTAAATTTTCTATAGCAGTCACTGCATTCCAATTGAGTTAGGTGCTTAAGGGATTTCTTAACAAATGACGCACAAGTGCTTTGGAGAATCCAGACATTTCTTTGTAACCATGTGGAATGGTATAAGAGGAAAAACACTTTAAGTAAGTGGAATACTTTGGCCAGGTCAGTAATGCAGCAGCATACCTATAATCTGAATGCAGGAGAAATGTAGAAATGTATGAAATGTTGAAATGCAGAATTCAGCATGTTTTTTGGGGTGTTGAGGCAAATAATCTACAATCAATCTATAAATCAAAATTGGGGTGAGTTAACTATATGAGCCAGTTTTGACAACTGTGGGGGGGGGGGCAGAAATGACCTTCACCAAGGAAGGAAGCTCTCGGAAGAAGCGGGGTGTAGAGTGGTTATATACCATCTTGGAACCAGAAACATACATCAAATATGACGGGAATATCCCTTTTACTATAGTCATGAGATGCTTTGCTAGCACAGTGGGTCAGTGGTCACAAGATGAACACAGCAGGTCAGTGGTCAGTGGTCACAAGATAAGCACAGTAGGTCAGTAATTAATCCTTAGCTTCTGGGAAGAAATGCAGATCTTTAAAGAAATGCTGATATGTGGCGGGGAGACATATATCCCTGTCTTTAAGGACATCATTCTGCTCTTTGGAACATTGTAAATGTTTAATGCAGATGTACAATGCATGCTCAACAGGCCACATCAGGCCTTTTCTGGAAAAACAAGGTCAATCCAAATTAGTTTTAAACCAAATGGTTTCCTCATACTTCAGTATCTCTTGTTGCTTTTCATTTATTCATCAGGAGTTTGCTCCAGAAATGCTGCTGTAAGATTATGCCAAGCTCCTCTCCTTCAAAAACCCACTAGACTCCAGGACACTGCCTTATTCATGTTTGTATCTCCCAAAGTACCCAGCTGGATACTTGACACAAAATGTTCCCAAATAGAAGAAATCTTAAGAAATTCCTACCTTTCTGCCTGTTCCAAGTCCACAGAGTTAAATAAAAGTTTGTAATTATATCAAATCAGGAAGTAGTAACTAATTTGTAAAATAGGTAAAGTTTATATCAAGATGAAGAGAACAAGTGATAAGAAGTCTGAAAATGCTACATGGATCATCAAAAGAAGTAGAAATTATGAACTGTATTATCTGGGCTGGTGGGATCAGCAAAGGTTTATGGTCCAAGTTGTATTTAATGAGTTTGATGGATTTTTTTTCCCCTGTTTTTCTTAGCTCCTTTTCTGAAGGCACACGTTTTCTGTGTCTGCTCCATGCTGTAAAGAAGGTGTTGGCAAATTTTTTCTGTGAAGTCCAGATATTTAATTATTAGGCCTTCAGTGCCACAGGCTCTCTCATTCACAACTGCTTAACTCTGTCCTTGGGCAAAAGCAGCCACAGACAGTATGTAAATGAATGGTGGTTTCCCCATAAAACTTTATTATGGACACTAAAATTTGACTTGCATATAATTTCACATGACATGAAATATGATTCTTTTGTTTTTTTCAACTGTTGAAAAATCTAAAAATTATTCTTAGCTCTCAGGTCTTACCAAACAGGCAGTGGGCCAAATTTGGCCTGTGGGCCACAGTTCACCAACCTCTGATGCAGAGGACACTAAGTCAAGAAAAACAATGTCTTTATTATATTAAGAATGTTACATTTTCCCTTTCTTAAGCTTTTGCCTACTGTAGCTCTATTTGAATATGAAAATATATCAATGTAAATTCAGTTATTTCTATCTTAATAAAGGATCCTTGAATATATTCCCAACATGATCATTTGTGAGCAATCCTGAATGCCTAATTAACTGACACGCATTTGGATTTGTAAGAGTAAGATTAGGTATTACATATATTCTAATTTGGATGTAGTCCATTCTAGAACAAACACTAAATTATGAAGAAAATATGATTGTGTATGCTTAATTTGAAAACTATTGGGCTCATTAGTTATTTCAGGTGGTCCCTCAGTTAGAAACATCAGTCATCTTGCATGATTGCCTCAGACACTGGAACTGAGAAAAGGACACCCCATCTGTTGGTTGGGTATAGTAGTCTAAGAAGGAAATGGCCAGATTGCTATTGCCCTCTTCTGCTACCCCTGGTTCCAAGGCAGGATACACTCACATCCTGGCTTTCTCCCCTCTGGAGTATCCAGCCCTGATGGAGTGTGCCAGGCCAGTGTCCTCTTAGATCACAACTGGAGTGGCCAGCTGTCACTTTTCCCTGTTGGCCCATCTACTCCTCAGACCCACTCAGAAAGGGTTGGCCTGATTGTTATTGCCTCAGCTGCCTTCTCTTGCTTTAGGAGGATGCAAAGTGTTAACATATCAGGAACCAAAACTTTTTTTTTTTGACAGAGATGAGTAATCAGTAAGAATTTTCTCTGATTCATATAGACAAAACAATATATGTTAAATCAATACATGCTCAATATCTAAACCAAAAATATTTAGTATTTACTTCTCTTTTTTCCAAGAGGTATAACCACAACAATATCCTTTTGGCCATTTTCCATATATCAGTGAATTAAAGAAATAACAATTTTAGTTAAAAGTATTTGTAGATCCACTGAGGTTTAGTAAGAGTTAAATTTAGGAAAAACTGGTCCTAAAAGAACATGGCAGATCACAAAACTTTTGGCATAAACTCATTTATTTGTTTATTCAGTTGTTGTGTGTGAATGGTCCATTATATGCCAGATGTTAAGGCCAGTGGGAATATAGGAAAACTAAGACATAGTCTTTGCCCTCAAGAAGTTTATTCCCTACCGGTAAGAGACAAATAAGCCAGAGCCCCAGTGTAGACTGAGGAGTGACTTAATGGAGGTAAGTACAGGGGCCTCTGGGAGCAGGGAAGGGGCATCTAGGCCAGACTGTGTGGCCTGGGTGTGCATTGAATAAAACTTCTTGGAGACCCCATAAAAATTGAGGGAAATGATTTCTACTTTAAAAGAGAACTTACTCTAAAATGATTATTCTATTTTGAAACCTAGAGTCTGAAGAGTAATTATCCATCCAAATTTGAAGATCCTGTAATAGTTCCTCTTCAAGAATTTGCATGGAATCAATATGTACAGGAGAAAAAAAGGGTAAAGGATATTTGGGGTTTGGGGAATGAGCAAAGTTTTGCCTGAATTATTGACCTATGCGTTGTTTTGGAAAAAGTGAAGGAGTAATTTCAGTGCAACTAGATTTTATTTCTCTAACGTATGCACTTTTCCTAAATTATTTCAATCATTTACCAGGCTGATTTTAGGAAAAAGTAAAACATTTACAGGATTTTCTTTTGGAAGGCATGTGATGAAGGTAAGTTTTAAACTCTCAGTGCTGCTATTCACCCCTGCGGATGGCTACCCCTCCCTTCCTAGCACATCATACACTTCCTGTGATGCCCTGGCACTCAGGTCACTGTGGCCTGGCACTCTTCTTGGCCCTAACTCTGAAAGGTTTTGGTGTGTGCAGCACAGACACAGCGGGAGGCTTGTGTGGGCCTATTGCCTAGGGGAGCTCTGATGACAGGCACTAAGTTCCCAGAGAGTAGCCTTGTCCTCATTGCCGCTTCCTTCCCTGCATTCTCTCCTCTAGTGGTACCCTGGAGGACCCCAGACCCTAGGGCTAGCAGAGCTTATCCAGGAGTGGCAGATAGATTTCCTCTTGGGCATCAACCCTCATCAGTTGGTAATGCTGCCTGGAGCATGTGATATGAGGGATTCTAAGGTGGCATCCAGGCTCAGCAATGTCTTGTGTTGAGGGGGGAGGCTGGGGTGGGGTACGCCTCCCGCTTATCACCCCTGGCCCAGTCCTGTAGAGGGTCCCAGTCCTGGTTTCCCTGCCTCACCCCACCTCCCCAGTGGCTGATGAAATCCTATGTCCCCTGACCACAGCAGTTGCGACTGCTCTGTGCTTGGTTGCAGAAGGATGTCCCGTGATCCTGTGGTTATCATGTAGATAGTGTTGCTTTACACGACCACTTCACACTCTGCTCAGTCACATGAACCGTGCAAGACTGAGTCAAGAACACCACTTGTTAAGTCTCACGCTATCTTCATAGCCATAATACAGTTTCATTGGAATTCAAATAGAACCATGGTAAACACTTATATATGGTGCTTATTATATGCCAGACACTATACTAAGGATTTATATATATTAACTCTAATACTTACAAGAACTAGGGTGACCAGTGGTTTGCCTGGGGCTGAGGAGTTTGCTGGGACGCAGGAATTTCAGTGCTAAAGCTGGGACAGTCCTAGGCAAACTGTGACAGTTGGTCACCCTGACATAAAACAATGTTTCTCATAATTTTTATCGTTAAACTTATTATACTGCCTACCAGCGTCGTGCTCGCCACCCACACAGAGCCATGATCTCCTGCTTTGTGGTCTGCACCCACTCCTCTTACATTCTCCCACCATCCTCTTCAAGATTGGCATGGATTCCATTCTGCGGTTTCCTGCCCTCTACGGCCTAGGTGACTGTCCTTGAGATGTGTTCTGTTCTTTTCCTTCTGCTTTTCTCGTGAGGCCTGCATGAGGCTTTCTGGGTAATCATTGCTGCTGCTTTCCACCTATTCTTTATTCCTTTTCCTTCCTTTCTTCCCTCTCCCACCCTCATCTCCTGGATACTTGTCCCTTTAACCTTTTCTTCCCTTTCAGGCCAGCTTTTTGTCCTTCTTCAATGTAAGCGTCATGTCTTGTGTTACACGTACTGCTTCTTAGCACATTTGAGGTTAGGTCTGGCTGGCCTCATGCTTCAGCAGAATGTAATGCCACCCCTGAGGGATGACTTCAGGACCTTTGGAAAGGCCTTTCTTTCCCCTCCAAAAAAGGCAGCATCATACATCTTAGTGCTGGAAAGCCCTAGAAACTGCTGGATCTAGGCTGTTATCATGAGACAAGGTATCTACATCTTCAGCCTCTGAATAAAGTGTACCTTCTACCGCATTTCTCCCACGAGGCTAACTAAAATATTTGCAATTAAACTTTTTCTCCCCTTTTTAAAGTTTTGTGTCTTATAAAATATGGTAATACTGGTAAATTCAAACATTCTGGGGAGTATTGACCCATAGGCTCTATCAGTGGTTTACAGTCCAGCATGAATAAGTTTATTCTCTTCTCTGAAGCAGGTTTTGATAAGAGCATGAGAAGTGAGCAATAGGACATGAAATCCCTTGGGAGAGGAGCTGGGAGTGGAGCACGTTGGCAAGCTGAAGGCAAACTGTTCCCCAAACCAGCATCTCTCCACATGCGGTCTCCAGACCAGCAGAATCAGCATCTCCTGGGGTTTTGTCAGAAATGCAAATTCTCAGGCCCCATCCCAGAATCAGAAACTCAGGTGGGGCTCAGGAATCTGTAATTCTGATTGCCTGCTAAAATTGGAGAATAATTGTCCCAAATCATTCATGGTTCTGCCAGGACTGGCGCTGGGTAATAATAAGCCAGATCTCCTCAGAGGGGACATTACTCAATGGCCACACACTGGGATTTAGGAGGGTGAATGTCAGTGTTGTGTGGATGAAAACACTAACACTTTATTTTGAGGGGCTTAAGACTTAAAAGTGTTGAGAAATGTGCATTACCTTCCTCACTGCCCCTGATTGGCCCTCAGGAGGCATTTCCTCACCCTGACCCCACTCTGTCAAAAAAGTATTGTTTTGATCCCTGGCCTTGAAAACCACGTATGACTCAGAACCACTAACCTTTCCACGTATGCACAAGGTCAAATGTGCTTCAGAAATGAGGCCAGAGGCTGCTTTTGGTCTTCAAGTTAATATAACAAGTATGCTACACACAGATTCTTATTACCAGATTACCATCTGTTTTCTATGATTGTACCATTGTTAAGATGACTTTTAAGTCATTCTTTGCTTTCAGTGATAGCAGATTCTTGAAAATGCCCTTAAATTCTTTTTGAGAGCAAAATTCTGAAAGATGGCAAAAAATGTATTTTTTAAAGATTCAGTCCTAGAGTTGATCCCAAGCTCTGGCTTATGGGGTTTTTTTGTGGTGTTTTTTTCCTCATTACATTTTTTTGCTCCTTTTCCTTTACAGGAACTCAGGAATGAAATCTGGGAATATTCTTCCTACGTGATGTGTTTTGTTAATGATCAGCTCCTGGGCGATGCACTTGATCTTCAGAAATGGGCCCACAAGGTGTGGGATATAGTTGATTTCAAGCCCCAGGCACTTTATGAGGCACTTACTATGGATTATTCTGCTAAATTCTTAAGAGACACCAAGGCAAGTTACACTAATTTTTAAAGCAAAATGGTGGAATCTTAGATCATTTATATTGATTCAGCATTAATTACTGATATTCTAACAAAAGGAGATATAAAAGAGCAGGAGACCAGGTTTTAAGTTTCCAGTGATTGTACCATTACGATTCAATTGTAAAGGATTGTAATATGGCAGGTTCAGCTCGGTGGTATGTAAAGCAAGCATATCTCACAGCAGGCGGACCACACAGAGGAGAAGAACATCCCTGTTCAACATCCTTATTCCCCATTAGTTATCATCCATTTTAAAATATACAGTCATGTGCCACATAATCACGTTTCTGTCAATGATGGACCACATATATGATGGTAGTCCTGTAAGATTAGTACCGTATAGCCTAGGTGTGAGTAGGCTATCCCATCTAGGTTTGTGTAAGTATACTCTATGATGTTTGCACAACGACGAAATCACCCAACGATGCATTTCTCAGAGCATAGCCTCGTCATTAAGCGACGCATGACTAAAGACACCCCTCTCAGAAAAGGTCGAGTCCATCATTCATTCACATTTAGTATGAAATATTTTAATTCATACTTTCTAACACCTAAGTGAGAGCTACTGCACGGAAAGAATGGAAAGTCTAATTGAGAAGAAAGGTGACGTTTTAAAGCATGACACACAGTTGGCAAGAGCAGGACTAGACAAGCTATGGCATTGGGGAGGTTTCCAATGGCTGAGGACAGTCATGAAACTTGAAGTCCAGAAGGCGAGAGAAAGACATCAGGGTGAAATGGCAATAGAGGTAAAAGTACTTTGTAATTTTGCTCAGAAACCTTGTAGCAACAACTACCACATGCTGAAAATCATTGCATGCCCAGGGTAGCCTGTGCCCACAGAAAGACCCAGTGCTAGGATCTGAGCTGTGCAGAGGCAAAGATCTTGTCTTGTTCATCCTCGTTTAACCACTGCCTGGAACAGAATCTGAAACATACCAGGTGCTCAGTGAATGTTTGGTTGAATAAACAATGCACTTGGAAAATGCTAGAAACTCTGGGGTCTGGGGAGGAATTTAATGTTCATACCAGTTAATTCCCAAAGGGACAGGAGTCTAGAAGTACATGGAGTACACTGTGAATGGCAGGGGACAACAGGGAGGCCAGAATTAGTGGGAAACGAGGCTGGGAAAATGAGAGTATGTCAAGATTCTTGGTGCCAACAATACCAAGCTACTCTGATTACCTTAGGAGAAAAGGTCTGTATTGAAAGGATGTTGGTAACCTCACAATTGACGGGAAAGCTGGAGAACCAGCTTTGGAAAGCAGGTGAGAACCAAGGGAGGCCTGGCAGCAGGAAAACATGGCCAGAGTCGCGCCCCAGGAGTGTGCAGCCGGGATGCTGCCACGGGTGCCTGCTGGTGGAGCTGGCACAGCGGCCTTCGCAGAGAATAACTTCTCACCTCCTTGTGTCACTCCCTGGAGATCCAAGGCCCCAGGCAGGAGAGCCTGACTAGTCGAGTCCGGGTCATATCCCCACACCCTGGCTCTCACAGGATGGGGAGGGGGAGCATCTGGCCCCTGAGCTGCTTTAGAGGGTGGTGGGGCCCTGTGGGGAGTTCCCCAAATAGGAAGAGTGGTCAGATGTCAAGTAGGAAAAAACCCAAACAGATCCACTAAAGAAACGTTGAACTGACTGTCCATTCTGAACTAAGGAGTTAGATTTTATCCAGAAGGCAGCTGAGCCAACAGAACTTTTCATAAAGATTATGACATAATCCTCTTTGCTTTTTTGGAAAAACTTAGGGCTGTACAGAAACAGGGTGGAGTGGGGAAAGCTTTGTGGCAGGGCGGCCATTTGGAAAGCTGCTGTAGTCATGTGGGCTAGAGATAATGACAGCCTGAATTAATTAGTGGCAGTGAGAGAGGACCTAGATTCCAGAGAAAATCCTTGGATTTTTTGTGCAGAGACTAGATTTTTCTTGCTGAGTAAAACCCAGGGACTTGTTTACTTCTGGGTTGGAACCATATATGAGACAATTACATTTGCATGGTTGGCTGCGAGGCAACATTACCTTGTGTCGCATTCATTTGCTCTCTTTTCATTGGAATTTTTAGAATTATCTACTCTTGACAACCGCATAAAGATAATATGTTGATGCACATGGAAGTTTAATGATACCTGAATGGACTTACTCATTTCCTAAGTCAGTCATGATTTCCAGTATATCCTTTTTTTTCCTATTAAGCCTGTGAATTTTACTATATTATACCTCTTATTCTAAAGTTATAATATTCTTTTATAATTAAGAACTTGTAGCACAGAAGCTGAGAGGCACAAACAAATTAATTATAATTAGTATGGATGTAATACTTCATTCCTGGATGCCAGATAGCACAATATTATTTCAGTCTTTTAATTAAAAAAAAAGAAAAAAGTTAGAGTGACATAAAATAATGATCCATTTTAAAATGATTTCATTTATGTTTCCTAGACTATTAAGAAATAGGGCAGGGCAAATTATGTACCTTGTTATATCAGGCAGCATTTTTATGTACTGAAATGTGTTCCATTAGATGTGCTCTGCTCCCTGAATGCATGCTACTGTGATGGAGACTAGATTTTCATTTTGGATGCCTCTTTGTAGGGTTAGACAAAGTCCCACAAATGTTAGTTGTCTCTACCAGAAAGGATGTCAATTGAAAACAAGAGCTGGGGGCCTCTGGGAACATGAGGACATGACTGAAATAACTCAAAAGCACCGCATCCTCTCTTCCCTACCCCGGTACTGCACCTCCTATGGATATGGTGGCCTTATTTTCCCACTCAGAAAGGCTGTGGCCTGGCTCTGGTTAGCTGATCTGCGCTATCTCTGAAAATTCAGAACACATAGTAACCAAATCCATGGTGCTCACATTGAATCCTTTCTCAAAATTACTCAGGAAAGAAAAGAGTTCCCAGTCTGTTTCTTTTCCCAGAGGGACTAGTGTTCCTTTCCACACCTAGTTTGTGATGTGGTAGATATCTAGGCCATGTGTTCTTGGTCTTGCATGATTGGTTAATATCATTCAAAGCTTCGCTACTGAAGGGTTTTAAAAAGTGTATTTAGGTTATACAGACTTGCTATAATAAAATGAAACAAACTTCTTTAAGTCATTCTTTTAATTTTGCTGTTACATTATCTACTGTTAATGTTGTTGACATCTTATCACTGAAAACATTATTCTATTTGTGGTCATTTTGAAAACCTTCTTCCAAGATATTGACCTGTATTATCTTTTTCTCCTGAATTTTAATAGCATGATTTTGTGTTCTTGGACATTTCTATTGATTTTTATCCAATTGGAAGATTGATTTTTGAGGTAAGATGGTTTTTTGTTGTTGTTGGGAAAGGTGGGAATCTATAACTGTCAGAATGTTAAATATTTAATCTTTGAAATCTTTAATCTTTGTTTTGCAGCTCTACTGTGATGTATGTCCCAAAACATGTAAAAATTTCCAGGTCTTGTGCACAGGAAAAGCAGGATATTCTCAAAGTGGCATCAGGCTACATTATGCAGGTTCAATCTTTCATCGAGTGGTACGGAATGGCTGGATACAAGGCGGAGGTGAGTTTAAAGTCTTAAGTACAACTTAATTGCAACATTAAATTAGAACATCCAAAGTTTTGTTTATCTACCTTTGTGAAATGCATATAGAATTAGATATATTTAATATTAGATGTTATATATATTTAAAGGATGTTTTATATGGCCAAATGATGAATTAAGATATTCATGCTCTTTTTAAAAATTCCCTAATTATTAAAATAAACAAATCTAAAGTATGTTACCAGGAATATTCCAAACTAAAAAGTGATATAAAAAAGAAGGATAACATTTTTTTAATCAAAATGTAATTTTAAATGCTAAATAAATAAGAGTACCTAGAAAATACAGTGCTTTTAAGAAACATATTAAGGTGGGAATTTGAATATAGAATAAGTGGAAAACAACTTATTTCTCATCAAAGATGTAAACTGTTACAACTGAAAAGTCAGATCTAAAGCATTTTGGTCTCCATTTTTGCTTTCTTTTCAGGTCAATCCTTTGGCCTTACACAGACTAGATGCCTGACTAATAGCACAAAATTAAATTTTGGAGGCCTTTTGGGAGGTATCCCATTGAGAGCAATCAGGCAGCAGTTTAAAAATAATTGGCTTAGTGTGGAAGGAGATTTGCTTGAACTTGATGAAATATGCAGAGGCTTAGATTAATAATGTTTAATTATTTCTCTACCATCTGGAACATTCAGAGGCTGCTGAGGAGAAAAATGTAGATTTAATCCAAGCATCTTATATGTAAATCAGCTATTTTTCCCTCAGTTTCTCCAAAATGAGATCATATCACCAGTACTGCTAACTTCATTATTTTTCCACTTATTATGGTATTTATCTTCATATATCAATATACATAAACATATCAAATTTTTAGGGTCTGCCTAATTTCTCATCATATTGCTATATCAATTTAATTACTTGCCCATTGGTGAACATTTAGATTGTTTCCAATTTTTGTTAGTATAAAACAGTCCTCAAGGGGGCCAATATCAGGGTCTCTCCATACTTAGTTCAGTGTGGACTCTTATGTGCTGGGCTCCCAGATGTTATGTTCTTTTTTGTTTTGTTCTGGGTTTTTGGTTAGACCTCCTCCCAAGGCCCAGAGCAAGATTTGGGAAAAGTAGGTCATGTTATTTGTTTATTTATTTGAAGTAAAATTTCCAAATTGCAAAGGGCACAGATCTTGGGTCGTGTTTTCAAACAGCGAGGCAGCAATGTTAAGGACAATTTGGAAAAAAGTTCTGATTACTAGATTCAAATCCAGACTGATACATACAAGTTGTACCACCTTGGATAAGGCACTTAGCATCTCTGAATCGGTTTCTTAAATCATAAAATGGGGATAATTATAATATCACAGGGTGTGGTGAGGATTCAATGACATGGTATATTGGAAGTGCCAAGCTCTGTAAACGTTTTTCCCTCTTCAGATGTCAGACTCCCACAGGGCTGTGTGTAGAATTTTGGAGTACAGGAGCTAAATTTGGTTTTGCCTTAGGATGCTTCTAGGCACTATCACTTGCCCTTTGGGATCAACAGGCCCTACGCAGTCTTGACTCCTCCCCGCCCCATCCCATCTTCTGACACCTTCCCCTTACTCACTCCGCTCCCCACCCTGGCCTCCTTGCTGTTCCTTAAGCACATCAAGCACATGTGTGCCTTGAGGTCTTTTGTCGTTTCTTTTGCCCAGGACACACTCCACTCATCTGTTCTTCCAGACATCCCCTTGCTTCCTTGATCTGTTTCTGATTTTTGTCCAGAGTTCATCTCAGCAAGGACTTACCTGACCACCCTATTGAAAACTGCCACCTTCCTCTCCACACACCTCTCCTCACCCCCTTCCCTGCTGCTCTCCTATCCCCTCAGCCTGCTTTATTTTTCTTCCTAGGACTGGTCACCACCAGACATACTATTAATATTTAATATTAATTAATGTAAGTTAGATCATATAATATATAATATTAATAATATAATATAAGCTAGAATATAAGTTCCATGTGGTCTTTATGTATTTTGTTCATTGTTGCATCGACAGGATCGAGAACAGTGCCTGAAAAGTATTTGGTAAAGGAATGAATCAATGAATGAATGAACAGATAGTTAAACAGGAAACATACATTCTATTCATTTCTAAAGTACAAAATTAAAGAAGATATCAAGTCGTTAAGCCCCTTGGGTGGGATTCTCTCTCTATGGCTCCCACAAGGCCTACTGCCTTCAGAAGGACCTCTTGAGATATAGTTGAAAACATTGTATCATCATCATCATCATCATCTTGAGCATAATGATGGTGAAGATGATGATAATGAGAGGATGCATTCTATTAGCCTGTGATGCTGCACAATAATAACAGCTACGAATGAATGAGCATGATGCTCTGCCGGGCACCACAGTAAGTTCTCTACCTACCTGACTTGATTTAATCCTCAGAATGACCTGGGAGGCACTTACCATTATCCCCGTCTATACAGATGAGAAAACAGGCTTGGAAAAGGTAACTAACATCAAGATTTAAGTCAAAACCACCTGACTTTAAAGTTTCCTTTTAACCACTATTCTGCTTTGCTAAATTTGTTGTCAGAAGTATAGAAATAATATCAGACATACAAGGCTGAATTCGAGGGGGTGTGTTATGGCCACAAAAAATATTAAACACTGATTGAAATGGTTTCGATATGCAGTATTCACCTAAGATATCTGAAGCAAAGGGCAAGAGTAATCGTGGTGTTGGAGAGACGGGGCAAAGGAGAGTTGCTGGTGGTTAAGTGTTAGAAGGGGAGGGAACCACACGGGCCGATTTGCCTGAGCAAAGCAGACTTTAGGATCTGAAGGAATTGGTGCCGGGGGACCCTCAACTTCCCCAATCCCAGATTTAGCCTTCAGCCACTGCACTATGCTCCTGAGAGCTGCTGAGAGCTCTGGGGTGAATCATGGCGGAGTATCAGGCGGAGTAGGATAGGAGAATTAAGGTTTATCAATTAACTTCTGAACTAGCTTTATGAATAGTAATAATTTAAATGCTACATGCTTTGTCCTGCATGAACCCTACATGCTTGCTGTTGCATCAGATTTCTGTAAAATAGCACACCTTTGTTACAGATAAATCGCTCATACTGAGTTAAAAAGGCACAGTCTTTAACAGATGTTTATTGCATACTATTCAAAGAGGGTGGACTGGAGAGCTGAAGAAGTAAAGAGGTACAGATGGAGGCCGGAGGGACAGAAGACAGACCTCAGAGGCCTCTATTTTCACCAGAGTTAGTTCGCTTCTCTTTTAGCTGTGGATAGAGAAAAAAATAACTTGTGCATGGAAGATTTTTACAGTAGGAGCATTGCCTAAGTCAAAAATATGCATGTAATGCATGTAACACAAAATAGGTCATATAAATACCTTTTTTAAAAAACTCATTTCATTACAGAGGAACCTTATTTCCACAATACTGGATAAATAAGAGAGTTATCACTATAGGGTTCCAAGGAATGAAAATTTGAACACTAATTCTTTTTAGAGCATCTATTTTTATTCTTGTCCTAAAAAGATCTTACTGTTCCTATTTCCTCTCAGTTTAATCTTTCCATTTTTCTGAAAAGCAAGATGGACTATGGAATAACTTGTGAAGTAAACAGAATTTTTATGAACACATTTTTTTAAAATCGTGACCACAATTATAATTTAATACTTCCTCATTTCAAAGTTTTGCATTATAATATAATCTACCTCTGAGAGTTATTAGGAAAAAATGGGATCACAAATGTGAAAGTGGTTACAAAATACAAGTGAAAACATTATAGTAATATTTTCATGGTAGAGACTGAACAATTAGGTGACTTAACTCTAGTCATTGGTATAAGGGGAATCATAATTTAAAGCATTCTTCCCCTGCCATTATTGTCCTCACTTTTTTAGTCCCAGAATTCTAACGTTTGTTTATTGTTATTTCTCAGATATAGCAGCTGGAAAAGGAGATGGTGGAGAGTCGATTTATGGACCAACATTTGAAGGTATGTATCTTTACATTTTGTCAGTCATATATTAGTTGATTATTTGGATTTACTAGGACAGGACAATTCACAATTCCAAGTAAGATGGTGTTTGGGGTAACATCCTACAAATGCACATACTAAAAGTGGGAGTTAAAAATGGGGTATGGGGGGGCCGGCCTAGTGGCATAGTGGTTGGGTTCGCACACTCCGCTTTGGTGGCCTGGGGTTCGTGGGGTCAGATCCCAGGCACGGACATACACACTGCTCATCAAGCCATGCTGTGGTGGCATCCCACATAAAAATAGAGGAAGATTGGCACAGATGTTGGCTCAGGGACAATCTTCCTCAAGCAAAAAGAGGAAGATTAGCAACAGATGTTAGCTCCGGTCCAATCTTCCTCACCAAAAACAAACAAACAAAAAAACCCAAAAATGGGATATGGGGGAAGGCACCCCAGTCCAGGCCAGAACAGCTTTGTACATACATTTTTTTTTTCCTTTTTGTTTTTCTTTTTTTGTGTGTGTGAGGAAGATCAGCCCCATGCTAACATCTGCCAATCCTCCTCTTTTTTTTTTTTGCTGAGGAAGACTGGCCCTGGGCTAACATCCATGCCCATTTTCCTCCACTTTATATGGGATGCCGCCACGCATGGCTTACCCAGCGGTGTGTCGGTGCACGCCCGGGATCTGAACCGGTGAACCCTGGGCCGGCGCAGTGGAGCACACGCACTTAACCGCTTGTGCCACCGGGCCAGCCACTGTACATACGTTTTTTTTTTTTTACTTGCCTAATTATTTTATTTCTTTAGGATAAATTCCTAGAATTAATATTGTAGGGTCAAAGGGAATTGATATTTTTAAGGCTTGTAATTTGCCATTCTCATACTTAGAACTGGTAGCTTGATAATCATCTTGTTAAGACTGCTGTTGGGATCCTGGGAAGATAGTAGTGGTGGTGGCATAGTTTTTTAATTTTTTAAAACCTCAACATAAAAACAGACAGAAGAATTAGGTAGAAAAACTAAAAACCCCTGGATAACATTTACAACAAAACTAGGTGACAAGGTAGCTACATGAATTCCAAAAGGCAAACAGGTGAGGACAAACTACCAACATACACAAAGTCTGCATGGTGTCAGCATCTGAGCAGGAGAAAGCAGGGCATCTGTGGGACCTGAGAATAGTAGAACCCCAGAATAGCCAAGAGCAGGTGAGTACGTGGGGCCCGAGTAAGGTCTGTAGAGGCTGGCGCAGTCTGACCTCTGTCAACACGAAACCGATCTGAAAGCGCTCTATTCCAGGACAGGCCCCCTGAGGAGGAACTGCTGGGAGTGGATATAGGGATATAGGGACAACAGTGATAAAGAGGGAATGGGGACAGAGCCATGGATCTCAGAAAGCAAGCTGCCACGTTGTTGAACACTACACAAAAATGGCACCAGAGGGGGCTTTGTGACCTCAGACAAGCTACCGTCCTTCTAAAGCCACACCTCCTTCTGAACATTTAGGAAAACTAATTTTACATAAAAATGAGCAGCGAAAAGCTTCATGGTTGTTAGAAGAAAAAAGAGAATATGGAGGAGAGTACATCACCACAGGTAGTGAGAGCACACTAGAAAGACAGGCTCACAGACCAGACCGTAACTGTGAGGATTTCAAAACGAGCTTAACGATGTTAAGAAAATGCTACAAGACATTTTGATACAAGACAGGAAAGGATTCCTAAATCAGAAGTAGAAAAACTTAGACATGAGGTTACAGAACTAAGGAAAGAATTAACAATAAAAGAGAATTTCAGAAATGAACAAACTAGAAAGAACACAAGACCAAATAAACACAACAGATATATGTCTTAAAAGAAGTAGGAGGTAGAGAAAGGGAATTTTTAAAAACCAAAAATAAATGAAGATAAAAAGAATTTATAGGAAAGTGACAAATATTAAAGACAGAAAGAGAAGATCCAGCATACGGATGATGACTATCTCTAAGGAATTAAATGAATGTGAAGGAATGGAAGAAATCCTAAGGACTATAATTGAGAAAAACTTTCCTGAAATAAAAAAGGATTTGATATTCTATATTTTGTTTTCAGTGGTGGTTACACAACTATATGTAATCAAAATGCATCAAACTGAACATCTAAGATATATGCATTTTATTGTATGTCTATACCTCAGGTAAAAATATATGTATAAAAACTTGAAACTACTTATTGAAAGAGCACACTGCTACCTGACAATACTGCACCAGAATAACCAACACCAAGACATATTTTGGTAACATTATTGGACATTAAAGAAAAAGAAAAAATTTTTTGGGTAGCTAGCAAAAAGAGCAAGTGATTTATAAGGGAAAGAAGAGTAGATTATCGTCATATTCTTATGCCAGAAGAAAATGGAGTAATATATTTATGATGCTCAAGGAAAGGAAATGTGAGCTAAATATTTGATATCCAGCCGAACTGAGTCTGAATTATAAAGGGCACACAGAGTTATCAACATGTAAAGCTTCAGGGAATAGTGTTGCCACAAGCCCTCCTGAGGAATCAGCTATAGAATGAGTTTCACACAAACAAATTACGAGAGACCTTGACTTAAGGACTGGTGGTATTAATCATATAGTGACTTGTCAAACTAAAATTTAATGAGGATTAAAAGGATGAGAGTATGATATGTAGGTATATGTTTAGTGCAATTATTTAAAAAATGAAAGAAAATGGGGAGAATATGTGCAAAAAATTTTTTAACTATTTTCAGTAATGATACTGGTGATGGTATTAATATTATTATTCTGAAGTTGTTGTATATGTAATGTGGGAAAAGTAAGTAAGTATGGGATATTCTCATTTTATCATTTCCTGTATCCTTGAGAATCACAATTTTTAATGTGGAAGAAAGGAGATAGATGAAATATGATAGAGGCTAATGAGTATAATATTCTGTAGTCTTGAATTTGAATTGGAAATACTACTTTAAACTCAATAAATATCATGTCTATATCCATATAGCTCTGTCCGCTGAATTGGTCTATAAACAACAAAGACCCAGTAGTGATACACATTCCTAGCATTTAGATTGTTGTTTTGAAATGTCGTTTCTTGCTTAAAGAAACCAGGGCTTCTGGGAAAAATGGCAGATTCCAGTTCTGGGACAGGAAATTACAAAATGAGCCTGGAACCTCATGTTCAGTCATGCTATCATCAGCTAGCCAAGAGCCCTATAAAAAATTTACTAGGGTCATGTCAAAGGCCTCAGGAGCCAATTTTAAGAGGCTCTCACCAGCCAAAGATAGAGTAATTTGAATAGTAACTGCAGTTGATTGAAACCCAACAAATATTTTAAATCCATGAGTTCATAATGATATCACATTATAAAATAAAGCCTAATTGCTTACTTTTTGGGGGAATGATAGGAAACGAATTCATTATCTTGAAAACTGATGAATATAGAGAAAGAATCAAGCATTTATCTTGCCTTTCCTGTATCAACTGTACCAAATTGTAGGTAAATGGAAACATCTCATTATAAAAGTATTCCAGTTAATAATGAAAAGGAAAAAATAGAATTAGAATATCACCATTTAGCTGCCCCCAGTGAAATAATGGATGTAGGCATTTGCTGCATCAATATCTACTAACTTCACAAAAACAGAGACAACCAGACATTATGAGCCTTCTGTTGAAACAACACATTACCAAAGGGGCAGAACATGAGTCTGATTAAGCCTCTGGACCCAGCTGCCAATTTGCAAGAAATACAACCGGTTCTGCAATAATGTGGTCTTAAAGATCTCTGCACTATATAAAATCACACAATAAAAACCATAGGACTTATGGCAAAAATGAGGTCAAAAAACTTCCTCAGTGACACATTAAAAATAAGATAGTAACCTAATAAAAACAGTAATGCAGTTTTATATATATTACATAAATGGGCAAGAAGCACATAAATACTATAATAAATAAGGCACTTTACCTTGAAAACTCCCTGACGTTTGTGGAGGTGGCGTGGGAAGAGTTGCAGCTCTGAGTGATTTCGAAGTGGCAGAAGGCGGGTTCTCTGAAGTGGAGGCAAGCTGTAACAGCAGATGTGGGTGGATGTGGCTCATAAGCGGTGACCTGAGGTAGCTGGTAGATGTCTGAGGTCGGCTCAGTTCAGCTGGGTGAAGCTTTCTACGTTCACCTGGTGTTTCTCCTGGAGGAAACTGCACATGAGCAGAGATGAAATTCATTATGTTCAAGTCGTTCCCAAACATATCAATCAAGGTGAAACAAATTTGCATTTTCAACACAAAAGTATTATCACAGAACTGACAGGAAAGAGAACAGAGAAACATGTTGAACTGCACCCTGTGTGTGCAATCCACAAACTCCAGACTGGGAGGAATTCTAGAGGTTAAATAGCTCAGGTTCATTAACAGGTCAAGTGTAAAGGAAAGAGAGGGATAGAGGTAGAAGCTGCAGATTACAAGAGATTTAAAAGGCATAACAAGTGTTTTAAAATGGGAAGACTAAGCTATCGTGCCTGGGGACGCACACTTGGAGGGTAAAACTGTCAGGAAACATCAGGTACGGGATTTTTCAGAAGTCAGGGGAATGGTTACTTTTGTGGGAGACTTGACAAGGGACTTCGGGGGGAGGCTGGCCAAGTTCTTTTTCTTGGCCTGAGTGGTAGTTAAAAGGTTGTTTGCCTTATAATAACTCTTTTAACTATACATTAGTTTTCAGTGGCTTTTGGTGTCTGTATTTTAATACAACGAAAAGGTTAAAAAAAAAAAAATCATCATGTTGAGCCAAGGGCCAGAGTCAAAGGGAAAAAAGTAGAAGGGAGTTTCCTCTAAATTGATGTGGAGACAGCTTTATCAAATGAAACAGTCCAAGTGACACCATTCATTTATTTATTCATAAAACATTAAACTCCTAGTTAGGTACCTACGTGGTGCCGGGACCTTAGGAAACAAAGACAAGACAAAGTTTCCACCCTCAAGGATGCTAGTGCTTTTGTGCAGACAGGTGTTTAAACAGATAAACTACAGGTGCTGCGCCCGTTGCTCCCGCAGAGGAACTGAGCGCTGTGGGAGAAGAGAGAACACTGCCTGGGAGAGTGGGGGGCGGGGGCCCAGAGCAGCTTTTGAGTTGAGTCTTAAAATGAGACACTGCAGACTAGGAAAGAACGTTTGTGGAAGCTTTCCTGGCATCCTGAATCCCTGATGAGAATCCACTGTGCCTCTCCACTCCACGGCAATGATCAGATCACCCAAACTCTTTCTGCTGGGAGGCGCAGTCTCAGACAGAACTGATCTCTCAACTCATCTCCTCGCCTGCCCCGCTGGACGTGCCGGTGCCTCTGCTGATTATCCTTTGCTCCCATCCTTAGGCTGTTGTGGGGCTATAGTCTCCAGGTGGAGGCCTGGCAGTCCTCTGGTGCCCAGGGAGGCCCAGTGTGTTTAGGGAAGCCTTTATTATTACTTAGTTTGTCTGCCAGTACAGAATTAGAAATTCAGTAAGCAATCAAGTGACAAGGAGAGATGGTCCAGAAGGAAAGATGAGTGACTGAAAGAGAGAGCATGCCCAGTACTCAAAACAGCCACAGCGAGGGAGTCGGTCCTTCCTTCACCCCCTCTGTGGAAGGTTAATACGTCAGCCAGCAGCCCTTCCTCCGAATTTCTCTCCTTGAACTCTGTTTCCATGAGATGCAGAATGAAAACCCAGGGCTTGTTACAAACCACCACCACCACGAAACTCACTTTTATGAAGCTTAACACAGTGAATTAAAAAGAACGAAGTAAATTACATATAATTTAATTAGTTGATTGTTTTATAAAATGGTTAATCATTCTTTTTTAACTTGAGGCAAGTCTGCTTTGCTTTGTTTTGAATCACAACTTTTTAAAAATTTTCTTCCCAAATCCTAATCTGAATGTTAGAAGCTGAATATTATTTAAATATGATGGTAAAATTGGAGCAATAGGTTTAAAAAACTGATATTGCAGGATTCGGGTCAGACATCCACCTGATATAACTATCCTTAGAAAATTATATGGAAATATCCCAAAATTGTCTGATTATACTTTTACCAGAGAATGCAAGGCAGTTTTCCCGGACTTGTAATAGTTGCTTCCATTATAAGCATCAGAATGAGCTTTATTTTAAATAAATTCAGAAACTGATTTTCTTCAGCACATAAATTCTGATTTCTATTTCAAACAGTTACATTTCCCCCTTAATGTTGTATGTTACAAATGGTGCAGTTTTAACCAGGGAGTGGTAACTATGTTACTATAAGTGGCAGAGGCAGGCAGAACTCCTGAGTCACAGTGTAATGAGAGGTAGCCTTTCAAACTTCTGTAACTTCCTTTGACTCTTTATTGTGCGTCCACGCCTCAGTTACCATGACTTAACAATAAAATTATTACTAATTATGTTGATCTAGTCAGCACTCAAATTTTTTTATTTTTCTAATTTTGCCCAGCAATAAAAAATGTTTCTCTGTTCCTCCTACTTCAAAACATTTTTTGTAGATTGTTTAAATTTTTCCTTTCCACTCAGGGCTGCTGATAAAATTAAAATAATCTATAATAGTTCATTATCCCACTCAGACATAGTGGGGGATAAAGGAAAAATGGTTGTTGATTTAAGGGTCTGCTTTTTTTCCTGTCCTCAAAAAAATTATTATTTGAGACTAAATTTACATTTTTATATAACTCAAAAGTGCTAAGGTCAGTACTTAGAAAAGCACTTGGAACACAGTAGGCATTCAATAAATATTTGTTGAATGAACAAATGTTGAATTAAACCTGGGATTTTCATTCTCCATTTTAATATGGTTACTTGTGGAAAAATCTCTCTCTCTCTCTCTCTATTAATGTAAATATACTCTTAGGATAGCCATTTTTCAGTAAAGCTTCTCTAAAGACAAAATTTTATTTTGAACTCCCATATGCCGTTGGCTCCCATCTTTAAGCGGGTAATGTGCTCTGGCGTGGCCAGGGTCCACTTCATTCTCGAAGTGAGCTGGTGAAGCAGGTGCCGACAGCCCAGTCCCAGCTACAGCTCCTGTCAGGTTGACATGGGAAGGGTCACCACAGCTTGTTATTCTGGGCAAAGGCCCCACCAGTAACTGTGGAAAGAACAGGAAGGGGAGGGATGGCTAACCCCCACCCCTTGGCCCAATGGGATGTTGCCAGGAGCAGGTGGAATTCCCCCCGAGGGTTTTGCCAGGTTGTGGCACAGTCACTGAGCAGTCTGCCCCTGTCCTGCCATCACTGCCAGTCTGAAGCAGCATGGCCTCAGGTCCTTAAGTGCCACATCAACATTCTGTACTTAGAGAATCGATAATGTAGTCATTTATTTTTCACACACTTTTTTTTAGGTCAGCGCATTTTAAATTTGTCAGGGACTACCTATACCTTTTAAAAACCTTCTCTTTTTCTGTCCCTTTATAGCAGTGGTTTTCAAATTGTCCTCTAAGGAGTTCCACGGGGTGCTGAAGAGGTATCCTCAGGAGAAGAGTACTCTAGGCCATTTTATCTGCTTTATACAGGGGCTTTCACATAGGTAGCATTTTTAAAATAGGTATTATGAATAACTGCTTTAAAAGTTCTCCCATAATCATAGAATTTTTAGTAAAAATGTTACAACTCTAGGGGCCAGCCCTGTGGTGCAAGCAGTTAAGTGCGCACGCTCTGCTGCGGTGACCTGGGTTCGCCGGTTCGGATCCCAGGCGCGCGCAGATGCACCGCTTGGCAGGCCATGCTGTGGCGGCGTCCCATATAAAGTGGAGGAAGATGGGCACGGATGTTAGCCCAGGGCCGGTCTTCCTCAGCAAAAAAAAGAGGAGGATTGGCAGATGTTAGCACAGGGCTGATCTCACACACACACACACACAAAGTTGTGTGTGTGTGCCAACAAAAAGTTACAACTCTATAAATTTTCTTTCCTATTACTTAGGGAATTTAAGAAAAATTAATCATAATATCTAAGAGCAATGAGGGATACCATTTTGTTAAAACTCTGAATCTTTGCTTTGGGCAGATTTCTATTCCATGTGATTTTCTGTGAAATTAATGGGTTATTTTTCTATTCTACTGAAATGAATATGGAGCATCAATGTAATTATATGGACTTATTTGTACAAAAATGCTTTATTTGCATGTCATAAGATTTCAGAGGTCTTTATTCAGTTTGCAGTTTAACAAGCAAAAAGTAACCACCACAGATATGGCTTAATTGCTTAATTGGCTTAGCTTTGAAACTTAAGAATAGTCAGCAATTGCAGTTTAAGAAAATCTTATTGACAGTTAATATTCATATCTCTCAATTATTCCCAGAATTTTATAAAGTTATTGAATGAAAACTTTTACTGAATTTCTCTTCCACCACTTCCCTCCATGTTTTTGAGTTTGGAGGCAAATCTGATTCCATGCTGGAAATGGTATTTCCTAAAAATAGTAGCCTGATAACCACCCTACAATTCTTTGCACTTGTTAACCTTACACTAAAAAAAAATTTCACTTTCCACAAAATCTTGGTCAATCCATATAAGGTTTGAGATTAAAATTTATTTAAAGACTACTAAAAAATAAGCATAAATTAATTTCCTTTTATGATCAACATTTAAGGCCACACATATGCCAGGTAATGTGCTCAGAGGCCCTGGGGTAAAGCTAGAACGAGACAGGGTCCCTGCTTTCACCTGCTAGACAGGAAACAATGACGCAGAGTGTTATGAAGACTACAGTAGGGCTCTGTGTAAGATGCTGTGAGGGGAAGGGTCATGTCCATGAGAGCCCTCTCAAAGAAGGCATTTCTAATGATCACATTGGTAGTCTGAATGAAATCCTACTGCCAAAACAGCACAAGAAAGTTTGCTGACCCTTATTCCTAAGCAAAGTATGTGCTTCCTTTTATGTTATTAATTTAAAGTACTTCCTTTTACATCATTAATTTTCTTAGCACACTTGTTTTTAGCTATGGTAATAATAAACTAAAGGTAAATGCTCAAATAGTTCTAATAAGACTTTACTGATTATCTTTTTTAACAGGCCAGTTGAGTGAAAGTAATATGAAACAAATAGAATATTTACAATTTGGAACGTATTGATAAACATGGATGAGAGCCCTTGTCTCCAAGAGTTCTGTTGTGCTTTATGTATTACAATAAATGGAGATGATAGAAATCTTTTAATGTCCTACTGTTTATTGTCTTTTCTAGATGAAAACTTTACAGTTCCTCATAATAAAAGGGGCATTCTTGGAATGGTCAACAAAGGCCGTCACAGCAATGGGTCACAATTCTACATCACACTACAGCCAACTCCCTATCTAGATAGAAAATATGTGGCTTTTGGGTACGTGCGTTGTAAGTTTGTCTATATAATATTCATATGTGTAAAAATATGGTTCAAGAAGATTGGGGTAAATATTGTATCTAGTCTGTGGGTAATTCAAGATAGAATTCAAAAGCAAAAGTAATACAATAGGCAAACATATTTAGAAATAAATATTTTGTAGGAAGCTTGCTATCTATAAAAAACACAGAAACTGTTTAGGCCATTATAATGTTCTGTCTAGCCATCCATCCTTCTATCTGTCTTCAGCGTCAAGGATATTATCAATTCTTAATTACAAATAATACCATAGTGCTTAATAATGTATATCTATTTAGATGCAGAAGTGAGGTGAAGCCATTTAAGTAATTGTCCGCAAACTTTGTGAAGAGACAGATGAAAACTATCCAAGTTACAAGTAACCTTTTTTTTTTTGTTAGTGAGGAAGATGAGGAAGATTACCCTTCAGCTAACCTCTGTTGCCAATCCTCCTCTTTTTCCTGAGGAAGATTGGCCCTGAGCTAACTAACATCTATGCCCATCTTCCTCTATTTTATATGTGGGATGCCTGCCACAGCATGGCTTGATAAGCGGTGTGTAGGTCCGCGCCCTGGATCTGAATCTGTAAACCCTGGGCTGCCAAAGGGGAGTGCATGAACTTAACTACTACACCACCAGGCTGGCCCCAAGTAACTTTTTTTTTTTTTTTTTTTTTTGGTGAGGAAGATTAGCCCTGAGCTAACATCTGTTGCCCATCCTCCTCTTTTGCTGAGGAAGATTGGCCCTGGGCTAACATCCATGTCCATCTTCCTCTTTTTGGTGAGGAAGATTAGCCCTGAGCTAACATCTGTTGCCCATCCTCCTCTTTTGCTGAGGAAGACTGGCCCCTGGGCTAACATCCATGTCCATCTTCCTCTACTTTATTTGGGACGCCACCACAGCATGGCTTGACAAGCAGTGCGTTGGTGTGTGTCCGGGATCCGAATCTGTGAACCCCGGGCCACCGAAGTGGAGTGTCTGAACTGAACTGCTACACCACTGGACCGGCCCCCCAAGTAACTTTTTTTTTTACTGAACAATTTAAAATATTCAAATATCTCAGGTAATAATTATTATTAGAATATTATTAGCAAGATGCTTATAGGCATGTGGACCTAAAGTGGATGATGACTATGCTTTTCACCACTCCAGTGTTTCATATCTCTACTTAATTACTGACGTGAATATAAGTTGAAGCTTATTTTGTCTTCCCTGAAATGATGTAAAGTGTTGCAAATTTTCTGCATAAATATTATAATATTCCAGCCGCTCCCTAGGGATAATTATTGACTCTTCACCCCTTGAAGAAATTTCATGCCAGTGTTACTTTTAACCACAGTTATTCCTTCAGTGTAATGCAGGTGATATTTCCAGGTTGAAAAAGCAGAAAGTATATTTTCATCCAAAAGAGATTTCTTTAAAGAGATGATTTTGTATTAATAGATGCATAACCTAAAATAATGTGTTATCTTCCATTTTTCCTGGTCCTAGTAAAGTGTATTCTGATTTTGAAAATGCATTCTTCAATTTATTTTTTTATTTTTTTGTGAGGAAGATCAGCCCTGAGCTAACATCCATGCCAATACTCCTCTTTTTCCTGAGGAAGACCCGCCCTGAGCTAACATCTATTGACAATCCTCCTCCTTTTTTTTTCCCCCTTTTTCTCCCTAAAGCCCCAGTAGATAGTTGTATGTCGTAGTTGCACATCCTTCTAGTTGCTGTTTGTGGGACGCCGCCTCAGCATGGCCGGACAAGCAGTGCGTCAGTGCGCACTCGGGATCCGAACCCGGGCCAACAGTAGCAGAGCACGTGCACTTAACCGCTAAGCCATGGGGCTGGCCCCCTCTTTAATTATTTTTAAATCCAAATAACCCTCACAATTTCTTGGGTCATTTCAATATCTTCCTGTCATCTTGCTGATAGTATCTCTACCCTCAACCACATGCTTAGTTGATCCTTTCTATCTTTCCAAAAGGTCCCTTTTGCAAATACAGACATGATGACTTTAAAACACTTAATGCCTCCTTCACCACTTCCACCCAGATGCATAGAGCCTGAAGTCCAGAGTGGCATTCCAGGTCCTTCATTATCTGGCCCATCTTTTTTCATCCTAACTCATTCATTCAACAAACATTTTATCAGGCACCTACTATATGCCAGTCATGGTGCTCGGTCCTGGGAAAGAGTGATGAGGCACAATTCCTGCTCTTTAGAAAGCGTATAGTGATTGGAAAACCACCAACTGTAAGACAGTGAGACATGGGCTGTGCAAGTTCTGTGAAGAGTGCACTGGGAATAGAAGAGAGAGGGTAAGGCAACACCCTCCAACTCCTTCACTGAAAGTGAACACAGATCCTTACACGATGGCAGTGTAGGGAGGAGAGCTGGGTCTCCTTTTGAGGACTGCTGTTCTCCATGTGACTCACCTTCCTCCAGGGAAGTCTCCCAGTGATTTCTATTGTCACCACCACACTGGCCTTAGGGAGGCGCTGCACCTCTTATTGTTGTAGCCCAAGTTATGATCTCAATTTCTCTCTTAAATCTCCAAATCATAGCTGAGTCTGGGCTGAAATATTTAAACAAGACCTTACAGAACACTAGGGGAGAAGCAGAAAGGTAACACCATAATAGGCAACTAGATAATCTGACAGAATATAACTCACTCCTCCCCGGATACCTTCCTTCCCAGCTGTAGGGCTGCCTCTAGTGGTAGATGCTTTCTCTGCCCTATCATCTCAGAGCATCTCCAGGTTTATCTGAGCTTGTGGAAGCCCAGACATGGTTAGCAAGGTCGAGAGAGATACAGAAATTTCCTCTCCTCTCTGAGACAAACTCTCCTTCCGAGCTCTAGTTTCTGGTCCGTGAATTTGTCCCTTCTTCAAATGGATGACACGGGAATGCCCTTCAGGGGAGACTGCATCAGCCCATAGTCTTGTTGATGGCCTTGCCCAGTGGTTTCATAGGGAAAGAATATCAGAATATAAGCCTGTAATATCTCCAGTCATACATAGGTAGAAGGGGTATATTTAGGGATGGTGGGGGGAATTAATTTCATTATAAGGGACCCCTAAAGAGGGGAGGGGTCATGGAAACCTTCCTGAGAAGGTGAGATGAGTACTGAAAGTCAAGCAGAAGTTAGCTGGATAGAGAAGGCTGGAAATCAAAATAAGTAAAATTAGTTTTAGGAGGAGTGAAGAGCCTTTGCATAGAGGCCCAAAGGAATAAGGAGAGCATCTTATCTACAAGTCATTTGATCTGGCTGGAGCTTAGTGCCCAGGGAGAAGGGAGAGAGTGGAGGCTGGAGAAGATGAGACAGCCAGGTCCCAGGTCCCAAAGGGCTGTGGGTGCCATGTTGCTGACCGTGGACCCCCAACCCGAAGGGGATGGGCAGCCATGGAAGAATTTTAAATTGGGAGCAACATGACCAGGTTCTCACTTTGAAAAAAATATCTTTTTAGCAGAAGCTAGGAATGAACTGGCAAAGGATGAAAACAACGGTGGAAAAGCCAGTTAAGAAGCGATGGTGATAGTAGGCCATAAATGAAGTCCTGGTATAAGGCACTGGACGTACCGATGAGCAGGGGAATAAATGGACAAATTCAAGAGATGTTTGGAAGTTAGATTCAACAGTATTTTATGACTATTTAGATGCTGGTAGTGAGGTCAAGAGGAGTCTAAAGCAATGGTATCTAATAGAACTTTCTGCAGTGATGAAAATGTATTATAATCTGTGCTACCCAGTATGATGGCAACTAGCCACATGTGGCCATTAAGCACTTGAAATGTGGCTAGTGCAACTGAGGAACTATATTTTATTTAATTTTAATTAAATTTAAATAGCCATATGTGGTTAGTGGCTACTACATTGGGCGGTGAAGGTCTAGAGGAATGCCTAGATTTTGGAACTGGTTGGATGGTTGATGCCATTCCCCAAGATAGAGAATACAAGAAGGAGGATGTGGGGGAGATCATGAGTTAAGGATGGACAAGTTATGTTTCAGATTAAGATTCATGTTTTTAATGGATGTTGATTAAGTGCCTACTATGTGCCAGGTGTTGTGCTAGGCACTGAGCAAAAGCATGATCCCTGCCCTCATGGGAGAATCAGAAATTAATCAAAGCAGCATACAAATATATGTCAAATTTAACCCTCACTCCTATAAAGGAGAGGGTTATAGCATGGGGGTCTGGGAAACTTCCCTGCAGAAGTGATGACTGAGCTAAGATCTGAAGGAAGGCCAGGCGGTGCCCAAGCAAAGGGGTAGTGGGGGGCAAGAGCCAAGGAGACAGAGACAGCTGTGGCCGGCAGGGCACATGGGGCCACTGAGGTACTGAAAGCCAGTCCAGCCAGAGCCCAGAGAGCGAGGGGAGCGTGGGTGCAGGACAGCCCTGGAGAGGAGTGGGGAAGGTCATTAGAGATTTTTTATCTTTATCATAAGGATGATAGGAAATTATTGAAGTGTTTAAGCAGGGAAATGATATCAGATTTGCATTTTTAAAAGATCTCTCAGCCGGCAGGAGGAGAATAGATCGGAAGGGCCCCAAAGCAGATGTGGGGGAAGCATGGCAAAGTGGACAGAGCTAGATATTTAAGATATTTATGACTGATGTTAATTTAATTTGTAAGAAATAGCCTTAGCTAAGCTAGGTAAGACTCAATTTAGGAATGCAAGCTAGATCTGAAAATTTATGACTGACTAAATTTTCCACTTTTTCTCCTATATAGACAATTGATTGAAGGAACAGAAGTTCTTCAACAACTGGAATTGGTTCCAACAGAGAATGAAAGACCAACACAACAATGTATAATTATTGACAGCGGAGATCTTTATAGCTGATTTTCATATGAATATTTTCTGACAATTTATTATTATGTATCTGATCAGCTGTTTCTAGATTTAATTAAACAGTGCTTGATAAAATTTAGTTTGAAAACTGGCAGATGCTGTAGGCTGGCTCACCCAACACCCAATCCCTCCCCATTTTCCTTTCTTGCCTCTGCCATAGAGACTATGAAAGCGAAATACTCAGTTTCCCAGCCTCTTTTGCAGCCAGGAGTGACCATGGGATACCATTCTGGCCAATGAGACAGGAGCAGAATGCCAGTGGTCCTGCCCCTTCCCCTTCATCCAGTCTTGAATGCAGAGAGGCTGGAGCCCTGAAGGAAAGGCCAAGAGAACTGCAGAGATGGCAGCCCCAACTCTTGAGCTGCAGAACCAATACTGGCAACCACCCATCTCTGGACTTCTTACTGTATGAGGCAAATAGACCCCTGTTGTTTATGTTACTGTTAGTTGAGTATTTTGTTACTTGTAGCCAAAACTATTCTTAATTTAGCAGCAGTACCTAATGGCCTTTGAATCCTAAAACATTTGTAATAGAATTATGTTGCTGTTTGTAACTACATCTCTGCCATGAGAAAGTTGGTAAATAACCAAATAGGAGAGAAGCAACAGAAAAAAATAAGTCATTGTAATATTTCATTGTTTATATGTAGCATTCAGAAAAGGGTATACAGACACACGTCCCTTAAGGACTGTGATACGTTCTGAGAACTGTGTTGTTAGGTGATTCCATCGTTGTGCGAACATCATAGAGTGGACTTACACAAACCTGGATGGTATAGCCTACTTCACACCTAGGCTATATGGTACTATTCTTATGGGACCACCGTCACATATGCAGTCCATCGTTGACCGAAGCGTCATTATGTGGCACATGACTGTACACTTTGGATGTTTTTATGTAACATGAATAGAATGCTTGTCTCTGAGTCATACCAACCATATGAAAACCAAGGGCTTGAGTTACAGTCCCCATGGTGGCTGACTCCTGAGGTGTTACGGGGATCCAGCTTTTATCAGCTGCTCCTTAATCTGAGCTTCTCAAACCCATGTCACCTGGGGAACTTTTAAAACAGACTGCTGGACCCCATCTTTGACCCATTCAGAGTCTCTAGATGAGGGACAAGGATTCTGTGCATTCATTTGGCTCTCTCTCCCTAGAGGTTCTTGTAACTTGTAATTAGCCAGCTGGGCACTAGTCATTTGGCAGTCACTCCAAGATGTAAGGGACTGGTTTCAGCCGCCTTTGTGTACTCAGCAAAGTACTTGACTCTGGTAGTGGTGACTTTGCTCAGCTGCCGCTGCCACCATAGCCACTGTGCTCCTGCTCTGCCCGGAGCCACTGTGTTTTTCTTGCCCTTAGTGGAAGGTTTGTCTACCAAGAAGGAGCTCTCGTTGAGCCAGTCTTAAGGAGACAGGCCTTTAGTTGACTTGGGGCTTCCCAAAGGTAAGCATAGGCTTTTTTTTTTTACTCTTTCTTTTGAAATGATTATAGATTCACAGGAAGTTGCAAAAATAGTACAGAGTGGTTCTGTGTACTGATCACCCAGTTTCCCCAAAAGGCATAACTTACACAACTATAGTACAATATTGAAATCAGGCATTGCCATCGGTACAACGTGTATGTGTTGTCATTTTATCATGTGTAGATTCATGTGACTGACACCACAATTGAGACAGAACTTCTTTAGTGCCACGGAGACTTCCTTCAGGCTACCATTTATGGTCACACCTACTCCTCTGCCCTCCACTAACCCTAGCTCCTGAAAACAGGTGTATACTTTTTTTTTTTTAAATAACAGCTTCATTGCTATATGACATATGGTATATACTAAGATCTGACGTGGCTGAAGAGAAAGCATACTGCCTGTGTCACATTCTCAACTGACCCAGAGGCAGCACAGTGTTAAGAATGTGTGTTCTAGAGGCAGACAGCTTGGCTTTGAATCTTGGCTCTGCCATTCCCTAGCTGCACAACTCAGGCAAGAACTTCACAGTGCCTCTATTTCCTCAAGTCAAAACAGGAGTAGCTGCTACACAGAGCAGTTGTGAGGGTTAAAGGAATGAAGAATTTGTATACAGAACCCAGGACCTGTCGTGCTGTATAAGTGCTCATAAATGTATGCTCAATAAATTACTAGTGTATAACCTTTGGGTTGTCACCTAGGAAGCTGTATTTTTTAAAAGCTCCTTAATGACTCTGATTGACAGGCAGATTTGGGAAACACTGAAGAGGAAATATCTCCTCTTCCTTTATTCTTACGGGTTTCAGGCAACCCAGGAGCTCAGGCTGTTTGTATGAAGCCTCCAGATCCTCTCTGGGCCTGTGGATGGGTTCCTCTAGTCACACTGGTGACATCTCCAACAAAGGGGAGCTGGGCTTGCCACAGGGACTCTCACCAACTAGTGAAGCATGTGATGATTGAAACTGATGCTTTGCAGAGATCCTGGTTAAACCTAATTGCAAGCATTAGTCATGTAATAACAAGCAGAAGAGCAATTCTTACTGGCAATGAACCTGTGTATTAGAGCGTTAAGCATTTTATCTGATATTGTGAAAGAATTGGGATATTTTAATGAGTGTAAGAAACTGATTCCAGCTCCCTCTATTTTTCAGTTTACCTGCAATGTAAAGGTAGAACTCTGCCAACCTTTTAAAGGATGGCAAGTTCACGGTCCTTTTGTTTGCTCTCACTTTCCACTTTCGGACTGTATAGAAACTTTAACCACAGATCTGTATATGCACTGGTTCCTGTCACCACCATTTACAGGGACACACAGTGATACTTCTGTATTAGAACATCTTCTGTATTAGAATGATTTGTGTGTTTAACCATGTCGTTTGGAGAAACTGATTGTTACAAAGGACTTGAAAGCTTATCCCAGTTAACTCCAAATAACAGACTTCCATTTAACCAAATTGAAAGACTTTGACTTGATTAAACAGAAGGAATTCTAGATTTTTCCAAGTCTACAAATATGAAAGTAAAGCATTATGATTTATACAAAACATTAGTTATGTGACCTTGCCCTACTTGCTGTGGCAAAGTCAAGTACACTGCTATATCTTACACTAAGCCGTGTTTATAAGGGGAGTGTGGCATCTGGACATTTTTCTTATTTTGGGTGATTTCAGATAAACATTTAAAATTCTCTATCTAAAGCATTTGTTTGCCCCAACTGCAAACAGTGCTGGTTATTTGTTAATGAATGACTGGTCTGGCAACCTCAGGATTCCATTCTCTGAGTTTTTACAGTCTACACATATTTTTTTTTAATTGATGTTTTAATAGTTTTTAACATTGTGAAATTTGGGGTTGTACATTTTTGTTTGTCCATCACCATATATATGTCTCCCTTCACCCCTTGTGCCCACCTTGTGCCCCTGGTAACCACAATACAGTTTTCTCTGTCCATGTGTTGGTTTATATTCCACATATGAGTGAGATCATACAGTGTTTGTCTTTCTCTTTCTGGCTTACTTCACTTAACATAATACCCTCCAGGCCCATCCATGTTGTTGCAAATGGGATGATTTTGTCTTTTTTTATGGCTGAGTAGTATTCCATTGTATATATATACCACATATTCTTAATCCAATTATCAGTCGAGGGACACTTAGGTTGCTTCCACTTCTTGGCTATGGTGAATAATGCTGCAATGAACATAGGGGTACATAAGCCTCTTTGGATTGTTGATTTCAGGTTCGTTGGATAGATTCCCAGTAGTGGGATGGCTGGGTCATAGGGCATCTCTATTTTTAATTCTTTGAGGAATCTCCATACTGTTTTCCATAGAGGCTGCACCAGTTTGCATTCCCACCAGCTGTGTATTCTACACATATTTTAAACTTGGCATGACTGTTTTGGTCCCAGCTCTGTAGCAATGTGGTAGTCAAATCACTTAACCTTTCACCTTCCTTACTTGTAAAAAGAACAGATAGAAGTAAAGAAGTAGTTAGCTCCCTTCTGGCTGTAAAACTTTGGTGATTCTCTGAGTAAATTTATAAAATCAATAACAATACTATTATTTACTTTTGGGGGTTAATTTCATTGGTAAACTGGGGTACACCTATCTCATAGTGGTTTGAGGATTAATTGAGATAATATGTGAAGACACTTCTAATGATGCTTGACACATAGCAGATATTAACAAAAAATTAGTTTCCCTTCTGGAATGTCAAGTCACAAAAACCAGTCAAGCCGCCAGCGACAGAGTATCATCATCATCATTTCAAGAAACATCAAGTCCCTGTTATGCTCAGTATTAGCTATTCTCACTAACATCATATTAATTTTCAACTGACTGAATTAACTCAAAGGTATATCCTCAAATTGATCTCTATCACACCTAGTGATACTCTCTCCCTCATGGAAACTCATTTTATTAGACTACTATATTGATTATACTATCCACTACCCTTCCCCACATGGAACCACAACTTAAAGTGGCAGATCTAGTCAGTCTAGATCTCAAATAAATTTTATAAATCATACAAAATATTTCTAAAAAACTCAATAGTAACCTACACAACATAAATTACAAAGTTTGATATTTGATAGGGGGCTTTGAAAATGTGACACCTCATAGGTTTGTTTACTTCAGTGTGCATCTGAAATGCTTGAGCCTATCAAAACACAGATTCCTGGGCCTCACCCCAGTTTCTGATTCAGTGGGTCTGGAGTGGACTGGGGAAGTTGCATTTTTAACATGTTCCGGGTGATGCTGATGTTGCTGGTCTGGAGACCACACATTAAGAGCCACAGGGATGTATTAAAGACAGATGTATGAGAGACTTGTGGCATGCAGGTAGGTGGAAGAAAAAGATATAAAACACTCAAGTATGACAACAGAAAATAAGGAACGAGGAAAAATGATGAGACAAGGAACTGATTTTATCAAGGCAGCCAGAAGTACGCAAACACTGGCCAATCAGAAGAGACAGCCACTAGAAGCCTGGTGCGGGGTCCTGGAGCTCCTGGCTGGGCTGGAGGTGAGCCTTCCACCTGCTGGAGAGGCAGCATGGCAGCTGGGGTCTCAGGGGAAGGACTGGGACACTTGGGCTACTCCAAGCAGTGCTCTTTACCTGTCAGTACAGAATCACTTGAATATTTTAATAACCAGAATGTCCATCTCTGTGTGTTCCGGTGGAAAATCAGCTCTCCAAGACAGTACGGGGAGGAGCCCAATGGGTGCCTGGGCACAGGGGGAAGGAGTAGCTAAGGCAGGATATCAGGAAGCTGCCTGGGGGGTAGTTTAGCTTGAACTTGGGAGATGTTCCTAAGGAATGAGTTAGAAAAAGGCTTCCTTCTGTTTCCTGAAGTCTAAGAGATATAATGGGAAAAGCTCTAGCAGACCCAGAGTTGGAAGCAGAATAGAATAAAGATAAATGTGTCTCAGATGCCAGCCTAGAGAGAATCTAGGCTGGGCTCTACAACTCCTGCACATCCAAGAATTTCGTGTTGTTCGCACCCTGACCTTACATAACGTTTGTAAAACAAAACAAACAAAAACTTTACAACATGTCTCGCCTGATGTAATATTGTAGATGGTTCACTATTAAGAAAAACAGCAATTTAGGAGGGTAGAATAGTTCTCCACAAGGTATAGTGTAAAGCAGTCTTCCCAAACTTTCAGAGGCGTACATGTGTACATATGGATCTCGTTAAAACGCACGTTGTGACTCAGGAGGTCTGAAGGGAGGCCTGAGATCTTGCATTTCTAATAAATTTTTAGGTGGTATGGATGATACTGGTTCTGAGTCATACTTCGAGAAGCAAGAGTAAAGCAGTGGTTTTCAACCTAAGCTGCAGATTAGAAACAACTGGGGAGCCTTTAAAAATCCTGACGTCGGGCTGGACTGGTGGCGTAGTGGTTGTTTGTGCGCTCTGCTTTGGCAGCCTAGGGTTCACCAGTTCCCGGGTGTGGACCTACACACCACTCCTAAAGCCATGCTGCAGCGGCATGCCACATACAAAATAGAGGAGGATTGGCACAGATGTTAGCTCAGGGCCAATCTTCCTCAAGAAAAAAGAGGAGGATTGGCAACAGATGTTAGCTTAGGGCCAATCTTCCTCACCAAAAAAAAAAAAAAAATCCTGATGCCCAGGCTTTATTCCAGACTAAGTAAATCAGTACCCAGGCATCAGTATATTTCAAAACTTCCCAGGTGGTTCCTATGTTCAGCCAAGGTTGAGAACAACTGCTCTAAAGTGTAATGCTCCCCTCTGAAACCCTGGAACAGTTATCAAAAGACATGTCTACAAAGAGGATAGCCTCCTAATGAGAGGATCTCTAATACTTTACCATCAATACTCATCACATATTAATAGTAAGAATCTGAATATACAGTTCAGCTCACTATTAATCTTTATTTATTACAATTCTTCTCTTTGTTGGAATTTACTTAAATATTACACGAGGTGTAATACATGTTGTTAAAACTCTATCACAGATGCCAGTCCTTGCTCTGGAATGGTGAAAATGACTTTGGAAGTCTTCCTTGATCTAGCTCAACAGATGCCACCTAAAATAAAATAAGCCGGCGCGTTTCTAGTCTTAAAACAAGAGAGTGAAATGCTTCCTTATAAGAACTAACAAAAATCTGAGGACTAGAGTTGAACACCCAGATGACAAACCGGAAAACAATGGCCTCCCCAGGGAGGTGTGTTCATCCTATGGTATAAACAAGATAACCCATTGGGGTATGGGAAGAGACAGAACTTTTATTATATTTGTAACCTTAAAAAAATAAAAGTTGGTTAGCGCCTTCATTTGGTCTGGGTGTCAGGTGGTCATGTGCTAAATAAATCCCGTGTGAGAGGTATCCTGAGAGAGGAGCAGATGGTTCACTGCTGGAAGGCTGATGAGGGGACCTCACTTATTTACTTGGCTGCACTCTCCTGCTTCTGGCCATAGGTTGGATCACTCAAAAACCGTCAGTTTCTTCTTTACATCTGAACAAATCTCCACCTAGTGCAGTCAATGGAACAAACGTCCATAGTCATGAGGGTATAGAATGACCCCACTGATTAGATTCTAGGGAGTTATAAAAGTTTTCATGTTTAGGCAAAAAAAGGTAAAGCGCTTATGCAGTCACCTTTTCTGGTGTTTTCATAGCAAAGCAAATCTCACAAAAGCAATTAACGTTTGTGTTATCTTATGAGGGTAAATTTGCGTAATTAAAATTACATGATAAATACAAATAGCTAAAAACAGACATTAAGTACTACTTTTATAATCTAATATTTACCATTTGATATAAGCATAGCTGCACTTGTGAATGTTTTTGTGAGACTCGGCATCAGATGGCGCTCACCCTTAATAAAAGCCTGAGCAGTGACAGAGCATTAACAGGCATTTCGAAATCCAGCCCCGAGGCCAAGCAATCGGGGGTTTCGGTCGAGTCACTGTACTGAGTCTCCTCACCTATACACCGGGGGTGGCAACAGATCGAATGGACTCCCAACTCAAATCCTCTGAGAGTCTCTGACTAGAGCGGTGGCGTTGACTGGCTGCTGTTACCGCTGACTCAAAGAGCAACAAATTCGGAAAAGTCAACCTGGGAAAGTGCGGCAGAGGTAGAAAAGTGTGAGGCTCTGGCTGGAAGCCAGGAGACGCTCTCGGTGTTTCAGCCGCTCACACTACGTGGGCGGCGGTGCGCTAAGCCCTTAATCACGTGGCGTCTCTACTTCCCTGGGGAGTCCCAACACGGGGTTACTTCAGCAAAATCCATTTCCAAAAAAAAGCCCAGGTCCTACTAAAGATATATGCAAACACCTTGAGAACGCAATAGCAGGGCACAAACTTAATTCCCGCCCAGGCTCTAACTGCACAGCGCAGAAACAACTTCCGCCCAGCTGGACTCAGGTCCGGGAGGCGCGGTCCCGGAGGTCACGTGGGGCCGCGGAATTACAGCCTTGCTGGTCGCTCCGGGGGACGCCGAGCGCCACATCATGTAGGTTGTTCCATCTAAGCCAGGGAAAGAGCCTTCCCTATCGCAGGAAGGAGAAAAGCCCACCTGCGTCCTGTGTGGTAATTTGAGGGAAAAGAAAATAGTTTCCTGTGTCTAGTCACTTTCTTCGCTATGGTACAGTCGCTTTGAGGAACAGCGTCCCTCGGTGTCCTCTCGATACCCCTGCTCCCCCCCTACGGTTCCAGTTGGTATCGCCCGAGCCCCGCCCCTCTCCACCGCGCCCCCGCACGCCGCGGCCCGAGGGCCCTCACGTGACCTCAGCGCGCTCCCGCCCGGGGAGCTGAGACTCGGAAGCGGCGCGGCGGGTCCCAGAGGGACGGCCGGAGTGTTGTGCGCCGCAGCTCTCGCCTGAACCCCAGCGCTGAGGACGCGATGGCGAGGCCCTCCCGCTCGCTGCTCCGGGCCGCCGCCTGCCTGGCCGCGCTCTGTGTGCTGACTGCAGCTCAGAGCCCGAAACCGACCGGGAACGTGACTGGAACCACGACTCCACCGCCCACCGACAAGACGAGTTCGACGCCGGGGACAACCCACCCGCCGACCACCACTCTGGTACCAGGTGGGCGCTGGCCCAACGGGCTTTCTGCGCCCGCCTGCCGCCGAACCACCTTCCCTGCCCGCGGGGCGCGCCGGCCGGGGCCGGGGCCGGGCCGGGCCGGGCTCGGGCAACATGGCGGCCCGTCCGAGTCCCGCCGGGGCCGAGCGCGGAGTGACCGGGGTGGGAGCGCCCCAGTGGGAAAGGGGCGGCCGAGCCTCGGTGGCCGTTGGGCTGTTTCCAATCCCACAGGGTCCCATGCCGAGGTGCTTTTTAAAAGTGCCTCGTAATACCCGTCCTCGCCGTGGGCTCGGACGAGGGGACGTGGCTTCCTTCCGCGGTGGCCGCTATGGGGTTGATGACGGGGCGAGGCGACGCGCCTCCGAAGTTGGCGATGGACCGAACTCCCTCCCGATCCCTGGGGTCAGGCGTTGGTCCACCCGGGTCCTCTCCGCAGGGAGGCTTCTTCAGAAGTTGGCGAAGGAGGGAAAGAGAAACTTAAAGACATGAATGCTCAGACTTGGATCTGAGAAAATAAGTCGTCTGCTATCTAATTGCATAGATTTTGCGTATAGGTATGGGATATGTCTGAGGTTTGAACATTTAATTAATGAAAACTTTACACTCTAGGGTATGTGTAAAGGAAGAAAAGTACCCATTCGCCTACCCGGTGCTTGGCGTATATCTCTATTAGTGTTTTAGATAGGTGGTGGAACCTAGAAAGTAGATGGAGATATAAAGTAACTCCGCCGGACCATATGTTTAATAGATTGTGAAGCTGGGATTGGAACCCAGGTCTGTCGATTCTCTAAAACCCGATCAGGAACACGCCTTTTGTTAAGCTCTGCACACCATTTGGGAACTGGTTGAGGCATACACTGAATCTTAAAGCAGAAATTGGCAATCCCGTGACAACGCAAAAGAGAAGAGGGGAAGATAAATTTGAGGTTAGAAGATGCAGAAACCCCAGATATTTAAAACCTGCAATTTAGTGTGATTGGTTATTCTAGTTAATATTGGGTAAGGAATAACTGGCATCTTGACCGAAGAATTGCCGAAGTGTAAGGGTCTTTACCTCGCCAATTTTTTCAGACCGGTCATATTGTTTTACAGTGTCTTCCCTAGTTTTTGTATTTTATAAAAGTTTAATAAAATATATAATAGACAGTGTTATTTGTTAGATTCAGAAATATGTAATGGTAAAATTCAAAAATTTTTAAATTGGGAAAATAAATTGCAGTATAGTAGTAGAAATTCTTACCGCACGTTTTTTAATGATAGAGCAAAATATGTTTTGTCTCCTTGTTTGGCAGTTTTCTCCCAGAATTGTAGTTGTGGGTTATTTTAAAGAGAAGCTTGGAAATATCAAGTTAATTGCCTTTGTGTAATTGAAATGCGTCCAAAGGAGATGATTTGTGTTTTCTCTAAGTAGTACTTGGATAAGCTGCAGTCTGAAAGGTAGCAAGTTAAATTCATGGTAAATAACCTTCACTATGCTACCCATTCATCTTCAAGCACAAAAGGTTTTAAACTAGCATTTTCCATCTGTATACAAACCTCTGAAGAACTTATTTCTACTTTGTGACACCCCCCCATGAATGTCCCAGTCTCTGATAAATACTAATGATGAAGTATTGAAATGCAGTGTCTCTATGCAAAACCATTTTTTAGGCACAGAAAAAGCAAACAGGGATTTTTTTGGAGGCATTGAGCTTTAGGAAAACAGAGCCCAATTCTATCATTTGTTTGTCCAGACATTGAATTGTAATTAGCCTTCTTCGAGGTCGTGTTTCTGGGCCACTTGGCTTAAAATTATTGACAAAGACCTTGCTAACTTGTTAAATTTTATATACTTGAATGTAGCTCCCTCCAGATGTGTCATCTCTTACCCTCCATAGTCTTGGAGGACCCCTGGAAAGAGTGGATGATTTATGAATTACGCGAATCTCTGGGGTTTTCAGAATGGGCATCATTGGAACTTGAGTTCAACCTGTAATACGTGTTTATTACTATTAAAAATGCCAATGTTTCATCTCATGTTTGGGGCAGTGATTTCCCTATGTGTAGTGTTGGCCTTATAACATAGTCTTTTTTCCAATATTTTTATTTTTAGGATGCTTTAAAATGCCTCAAGAAACCCTGAGTGTCTGTGAAAGAGTTGCCCTGAAAAAAGAATTGTTTAGATAGATACCATGAAGTACTGAGTGTTCCCAGTAGCTTGTTTTTTTTTCCCCCCTCTGTGTTGAGTTGACTTCTGGCTTCATAACTCATTTATAATAATTGGAATTTCTTAGTAAGTCAGTTTATGAAGTATTTTTGTGTGTGTGGTTAAAAAAAAAAAATCCGTATAACATGAGATCTACCCTCTTGACAAATTTTTAAGTGTACAGTACAGTATTAACTATAAGCACTAGAACTTTTCATCTTGCATGAAACTTTATACGCATTAAACAGCAAATCTTCATTTTCCTCCCCCATTCTACTTTCTGCTTCTGAGTTTGCCTATTTTAGATACTTTATATAGGTGGAATCATGCAGTATTTGTCCTTTTGTGACTGGCTAATTTTGCTTAGCATAATATCCTTAAGGTTCATCCATATTGTAGCATATGACAGGATTTCCTTTTTTTTCCCTGAACAATATTTCATTATATGTGTATAACACATTGTTTTAATCCATTCGTCTGTCCATGGGCTATAAAGTTTTACCAGGTCTCTTAATTAGTAATTCTGGTACTGTAGTAATGCTTACTGTTGTTTAAAAAAGATATGTAGTACAAACCCAAAATGAGATACCAATTAATTGATTTCATACACCTCCCCCCTCCCCCCCCAGAAACCTGTGAAAGCCGAAACAGCTGTGTTTCCTGTTTTAATCCTAGCATTGCTAACACTACCTGCTTTTGGATAGAATGTAAAGAAGGTAAGAAACTTTGGAATTGCTTTAATATTGAGCATGCAAAACTGTTTTGTTATAACATTTTAAAATATACTACAAGGTATTCTTGAACATTTGAAAATTTTGTGGAACAGTTAGGATAGTGTGCACTATATATTTTGCAAATCAGATACTTTTCTATAAAGTGCCAATTGCTTAATCCTCCCCCTAAAATCTCTTCTTGTCTCCCATTCGCCCCTCCTTTAATTAATTCCTTAGATTTGATAATTACGGCTCAATAGCTTTTAAAGGAAGAGACATTTTAGACCCTTGTAGGATTAAGAGAGCACTAATACACTGAAATTAGCTGTGAAAGAAAGTTGTGCAATTTTTCCCTGAAAACTGTTCCCCAGAAAAATGTTTGAGGCGTTTGTCATCTGTAGGAGCTCTGCTAGATGAACTATAAGGAGACCGTGTGAAACTTTGTTGGATCCTTAGGTATGGGAGGAGAATAAGGTGGGAAGAGAGTTGACTCTTTCCTGTGCTTTTGTTAAATTTTAAAGTTACCTTTAATTTGAGGGATAAAGAGCTAGTTATGGAGCTAGTTCGAAATGCCCATAAGGTTCTTGTTAGAACCATGGGATTACAGCATAAGTTATTCTGTTTTCTTAATGTAAGATGGTTGCATTTTTTTCTTATCAGTAAAAACAGTCAGGTTTTTAAAATATATATAAAGACAAAGCCAAAGCTACATATTAATAAGCTTCTTTATTCTTAATTGAAAAATTTAAGAGTTCTGGAAATTATAACAAAATTTGAAAACCTCTTTTAAAATTAAGATATTAGCTTAATTTGGGGTTAAATTAACTTTGTTGTAGAAGTCACATTTTTTAGGTCATAAAATGGAACTTAAGAGTGCGCCGCTCCTTGCATGTATGGCACTATATAGGAGTTGGGCAAGTTTGGAAGATTGAGTGCCCTATGGTGGGATATGTTGGGGGAGGCTCTCCCTTACTCTTGCTACATGTCTGCCCGTCCAGGAAGCTGTTTTAGAAAGTGTAGAAGACTAAAGCAGAGATCTGGAGAGAGGTCCTACTGCTGCTGTCAGGGCACCTCCCCTGTTGACTAAGCTTTTATTACATCCTGACCTCTTCTCCCTACTGACTCAGCCCTCTTGTGTGGATTCTAGCAGCCTTCCTTGTGCAGTAGTCATACCACAATTCTGAGATCTAAGCGTTTCAGATTTACCCATTTGATATACTCCTGTGGATTTTAAAAGGATAACATTTGGAGAGATCTTGTGTAATATTTCTAAAACAGTGGGGAAAAGAGAATAACAGTATTTTGTTGGTCTGTGGACTTCCAAAGTGTTTATGCATGAGTTTGATTTTTGGAAACAATTCTTGAGTTTAGCAGCCAAGTCAAAGATAATATAAGTGAATGATTGGTATTGTTCGTCTTCCCCACCCCCCCCCCATAGCAAATAAAAGCCACTGTTCAGATAATGCAACTGTTGGTGATTGCCAGCTGGTGAACCACACAAACTTCTGTTCTGGTGAGTATTCACAGTGGCTGCTGGCAAAAGTGGCCACAGAGAGGTGGGGAAGATCATTGCCTCAGGAGGCCTTATTTCCATATTTGGTTTGAGGCATTTCCATAACTCTCATCTTGTTAGAAATTTAGATATGAATAGCATATTCATATTGATTGCTAAAAGGACAATGTTTTGAAGCTGGTTGTGGAATGTTGTAAGTGCAGATGCCTCTTTTTTTTTTTTTTTTTTTTTTAACTCTTCTGGAAATTCACTGCAGTTTAGACCCTCTGTTTTTTTGCTTTTACAGGCCTGGACAACCTTGTTCTGGCACTTTTTGGTTATGGTACTGGTGATTTTCAGTCTCCAACATAGTTTGTGCTATGGTCAGATGTATCTTCTCTGTATTTATCCGTTTTCTGTACTTTGAGGAACTTGACTACTCTTTAACTTTTACTCTTTACCCAGAGAATAGACTGCCTATAACTATTGAATTTTGGTGGGGGTTTCCCTATCTCCCCATCCCAACTTGAACTTTGTAACTGAGAATTTCATTAGTATAAGACAGTTATACCCTATGTAGACTGCATAACATGGTTTAGGTGGTAAATGAACAAACATTTTTAATATTTATTTGAATGTGTGTTAGAAAACACTAATAACTATATCAGACTTGTGGTTTCATGATATTATTGCTTAGAAACAAGACTAAATAAAACATTTTTAAAGACAGTAATTTAAAGAAAAATTGAATAAGTAATTCTACTTATTTGATGCTGCATCAGTTAGAATTAGTTTCAAATATGAAGGACATAAAATCTCAAATTACAGTGGTTTAAGGAATAGGCAGATTTACCTTGCTCTTGTGGAAAGGAAGCCTGGGCTCAAGTAACAGCTCAGCACCCATCAGGGACCAGGCTCCTTCTAGGTTTCCACACTGTCATTTCTCAAAAAGGGCTGTGACCTTCCTCTCTAAGGTGAGTGTTCATGTTCCAGCCATCACTTTGGTGTCCTGCCAGCAGGAAGAGGAAGGGAAAGAGAGAGGCCCATCTCGACCTTACAGATGCTTCCTAGGAGTTGTGCATGGCCACCTAGCTGCAGGGGAGGCTCCAAAATGTCTTTTCTTGGGGGAAGGAAGTGTCACTAAAAATTGGTACTTCTGTTTCTAAACAAGGGGTGACCGATATTGGGTGAGAGCAACTGTCAGTCTCCTCTGCAAGTGATACTTAAATGTAAAAATTGTGAAAGTGTTACTCAAATGACTGTAGGTTGGGAAATAGTGTTGTAGATTGTGATAGTTTAGACAGCTTTGACTTACATGGTTTGTTTGTTTTTTTTTTTAAACAGTTCCCACTCCCACTCCATTGCCAACCAATTCTACAGGTAATACAAGATAATTGACTCTGTCCTCCTCCTTTCAGGATTTTTAAGTTCTCTTGATGGATAACTTTTTAGTAATTAAATACCTAAAAGTTGTTGGTATGATTATAGACATATTTAGTCTTGGACGACAATAATTAATGTGTACTGTTTGTGACATTGACACATGACTCCAGTGTTTCACATTCATTGACTCCGAGCAGATTTGCTATAGCTTTGCACAGAGCCTATAAACTGCTTTTTGTGGATTTTGTGGAAATCTTGGGAAATACAGAAGCCTAAAGGAAATTAAAATTCCCTATAATTGCCATCATCCAGAGGTACACCAAAATGTTTTCAGTCATTAAGTTCTTCTAGTCTTTTCTGTGTACGTATCTAAATAAATATACTTATTAAGTTGGATAATATGTCCATACGTGTTTGAATTGTTTTCCTCTTACTGTAAGCATTGTTGTACACACTTGACCCATCCTGTTCTTGGTTGGTTGGTTAGGTCATCTTTTGTTCTCCATGCAGTGAACATCTTATAGGGAAATATTTGCTGTCATCTCTGATAGGATTGATTCAAACACCACTCCTAGGTCAGAGGATAAGACTCTCAATACTGATTGCTTTCCAGAAAGATATGCTTTTCATTCCCAGCAACAACTGGTAAGTTTTTCACCATACCTTCAACAGCACTAGATAATATCTCCTTATTAAAATCTTTACCAATTCAAAAAAAGAGTAAATAATTAAAAAACATCTACTTCAGGAGCCAGCCCTGATAACCTAGTGGTTAAAGTTTGGCGCTCAACCACTTCAGTGGCCTGGGTTTGCCTCCTGGTCGTGGAACCACACCACCCATCTGTCAGTTGCCATGCTGTGGTGGTGGCTCACATAGAAGAATTAGAATGACTTATAACTAGGATATACAACTATGTACTGGGGCTTTGAGGAGGAAAAAAAAGAGGAAGATCGGCAACAGATGTTAGCTCAGGGCGAATCTTTCCCTGCAAAAAAAGAAAAGAAAAAAAACTACTTCAGGACAAGCACAAGGCTAGATGATAGAGATATGGAGACAGAAGTAAGACAGCATTTTGTCTATTATAGGGACTATGAAATAGGTAAGTAGGCACAGCTCTTGGGGGATTTGTAGGAGAGTGTACGTATTGAGTAGTATGGCATGTGATGACACTGGAGATGCTGACTGAGTCTTGAGATTACCCCGGTAAAATATGAGAGGCTTTCTGGGCAGAGGAGGGTGGTCAGCTCCTGTGAAGGAGATGTGAGTACAGTGAGGTCAGGGAGTAGCATTGGAGTGTCCAGTACAAGGTGAGGAAGTGCTAAGCTGGACAGTCAACAGGACAAGAGCCAGATTGGGAAGTGCCTTTGTATGTCTTGCTGGTGGATTTGAAGCATGTAGGCCATATGATGACACTTGAATTTTAATAAAATGACTTACTCTGACAATGTGAAGAGATTGGAAGGAGACAAGAGTGAACACAGGGAGATTAGATAGCCTTTCCAGTAACTCTAGAGAATTAACAGGGGAAGAGTTGCAGATATATGCAAATAGGCTTAGAAAGTACAAGGATACCACTTGATGATTGAGATGATGGGAGAGCTCTTGGCTAGAAATACAGATAAGTTAATCAGTGCAGGCAGTAGTAGAGTCCGCTAGAGCAGCTTTTAGAGAGGAGAATGGGGCTAGAGGACCAAACCCTTGGGAACGAGAGAACGATAAGTCTAAGGGTTGGGAAGAGGACAGGAGAGGAAACTGAGTAGGGATGGGCAGAGAAGTAAGAAAGCCCAGAGAAGTGTGACCGAGAAACTGTATGTGTTTTAGGTGTAGGTTTTTAGAGGAAAAGTGGTCAAATGCTATAACAAGGCCAAGAACTCATTTTGAAAGACTTAGGCAGCATGAGCTAGCTTGTACCAGCTTTTGCTAGCCAGTGGTGCGCAGCTCTTCCCAACTGCACCTTCAGTGATACTGTGTCAGTAGCCTGAATTATGGCTGCAGTGGAAATACTGAACTCCGTGGAGATCTGCAAATGCTGCAAAACTTATTTTGCAGAGCACACAGTGGTAAAAGTGGTAAAGTCAAAAACCTCAAGCACTCATTAGAAGTCATTGACAAGGAGGATGTTAAAGGTTGATGAAAGCGGAGATGTTCAGAGAAAACTAATTTACAGAAGGTGGGAGGTGAACAGAAAGGGAGAGAGGGGGAAACAATTTACCCAAAACTGTTGTGGGTCCACTTTTAATTTCTTCCCCATGAGTCTTGATGTAGTTCTCCTGCTTGCTCCACACTGGGTTCTCCTGTGCACTACCATGAGTTTCTCTTTTGTTTTCTCTCTCTTTGGAAGTGGAAGGAAGCCAGGGCTTGCAAAAGTGGAAGACAAACTGTGCTAAGTAGTTCTAGTACAGTTTCCTTTTTTTGTTATATACATGCCTAGAAAAATGGCCAGCAGGAAGTAACATGTTCCTCTGAGTGATGGGATTACTTAAATGTCTTTACTGTGTTTTCTAAATTTTCTATCACTAATAACAGCTTTTATAACCTATGAATTATTTTTTTAAATGAAAGGAACATACAGTAGGTCAGTAGAGGTATATTCCCTAAGTAATGCATAATTTTGAAGATTTGTCAATGTAATACTTTGGTTAAAAGTAAAAGTATGTAAGTATTTTGCCTGTTTACAAAAAAGAATTGCTTTTTACCATGTTCAGAGGGCGGATGTTGAGAACCAAATAGCAAATTTGTGAATTTTTTTCCCTAACATTGTCAGACATAATTAGTAATAGTGTTGTAAAATTGAAAAGAATTTGATAATATGTTTAGTTTGTAAAGTGTACTTTTTGAGTTACACAGAATGTATAAGCAACCAAAACATTGAAGGGATTATGAATCTTAAAATAATCATATCCTCTAATCTAGGAATTCTGTGTAAGAATCAATCCTGTCAGAGATGAGATCAGATCTTTCCCTGTAAGATGTTCATAGCATGGAGAAATAAGAGATGACCTAATTCTCCAGCCATGAGCAGGGTGGGTAAAATGTGTGTGGCAGTGCTCACAGTGAGAGAGAAAAGGATACAAACGTATGTGGACGTAGCCATCAGTATTATTAACATATTGTTTATTAGTATCTATTAGTAGTATCAGTATTAACAGAAGTCTCTCAATATAGTGCTTTAGTTCCTAAAATGTTTTCACATTCAAACCAGTTCTTCCCATGAGTGTGCATTTCTTTGAAGGCATCATCAGATGATTATTTGAACTCATGCAGTGTGCGAGACTAGAGCTTACACTTGGGCTCTTGTAATCTAAATTGGGGAAACTATGGCCCCAGGGCATCTGTTCTTACAAATAAAATTTTATTGGAACACAACCTTGCCTGTTCATTTGCGTGTCGTCCTTGGCTGCTTTTGCATTACACAGTGCACAAAGCCAAAATATTTCCTGTCTTTCCCTTTAAGAAAAGTTTGCCGACACCCTGAAATTAAGAAGATAAGCAAATCTTGATACCTACATAAGAAATACCGAGTTGCACTTGTTTCTTACAATGACTTTTAAAGTTAATAGTTTTGGTCTTAGAAGCAAGATTATTTATAAAGAGCCTATAGTTCCCTCACCTAAACACTAATTCTTGCCCTTCTGTGTGTCTTTTTGCAAACTTTATCCACATATATACATAGATTTTATACTTAGATATATACGTAGATGTTAATTAACATAGATACAATTTTATATTGCTTAATGTTTTAAAATACATTAAAAGCTAGTATTCTGAATGTGTAGATATGTTAGTTAACCATTAACTGAAATTTAGCCTTTATTCTCTAAAAAAGTTGAAAGTATGTTGAAGTTGGTAGCGTTATTTTAAAAAGATAGATGCTAGATAACCGGGAAGTTTAGAAATTTGTTTTTAATACATTTTGTTTACATTCCAGCTAAAACCACAACTCTGCCTTCCACTTCTACAGCTTCCACCACAGCTGCTACATCAGGTAATTGAGGCTTTTTAAACCAACAGTGAGGTAGGATGTGTGTGCACATTGCCTTTTACTATGTCTGCCATTGTTTCCCAGTTGTATTCAGGAATAGTTATGAACTGAAACTCATCTCTTACATTTGAAGGACCAAGATAGTAGGCTGTTAAAGCAATAATTATAGGTTTGCTGAGAGGCCTCTTCTAGTTTTTTATTGTATAATCACATTTGGCATGACACGTTAGAATTAAATGATAATGTTTTTCTAAAACCCTTTAGTACAACTTGTAGGTGAAATCTAATTTCTTAAAACTTAAAAATTAAATACTGATTACTGTTAGGAATTGGTTGTGTGCTGTATTAGACCATGGCAATTTGAGTGAAGAAAATATAGCCATCCTTTTTTACTGAAAAAGGTCTAAAAAGCCAAGATCACTACCAAATGTGCCACTCAACCATATTTCTTAACCTGTTATATTCCTTTATAACTCCTGAAAGTACATGTGAAAATTAATTTTTTATTAGTTCATGATTTGACATGTTATTAGTTAATACGATTTAGTTAAATCGTATTTAGGTTATGCCACAGGACACTGAAGGTACGCAGGTTGGGAACCCTTCTCTCTATTCATATTTAATGTACTGTTTCGTTGCTGAGGAAGATTTGTCCTTGAGATAACACCCGTGCCAGTCTTCCTCTATTTTGTATGTGGGTCACTGCCACAGCATGGCCGCCGCCAAGTGGTGTAGGTCTGCGCGTGGGATCCGAACCCACGAACCCAGGCTGCAAAAGTGGAGTATGCTGAACTTAACCACTAGGCCATGGGGCCAGCCCCAATATACTGTTGTTTTGATTCTGATGAATCTTTTATGTTTTTTTTTTATTATTTTGGTTTCATTCTTGTGCTGCCTTTCAGTTTCAATGAAGCCATTCTGTCTTCACAAGAAGAAATACAGAACAGTTGTAATTAATTTTAAACCTGGGCCACTTATTATACAGCCATGTTTTAGTCCCTGAAAAGGAATTCAGATTTTTGTGCTTATTTTCTTATAACTAGGTAATACTTTCTCATAATATAAAATTTGCAGAGTAACATTTAAGATACCTTTAATAACAAGTTGTTTTGCTTGTTGAAATTATAAATTGTAGATACTTAAGATTATTTTTGTAATTTGAAAAATTGCAACTGAATTTTTATTTACCTTATGTATTTAGTAAGATTCAAAAGTTGTATGAATTTTCAACATCAATATTAATATTTACTCTAGCAGTTAACTAAAAATATATATTTTTAGTTAAATTTGTAGTTAAAGTTTTTACTTAAAAATATATACTTTAGTCATGCGCTGCATAGCAACATTTTGGTCAATGAAGGACCGCATATCTGACAGAGGTCCCATAAGATTAGTACCAATAGCCTAGGAGTATACTAGGTTATACCATCTAGGTTTGGGTAAATACACTCTATGATGTTCGCCCAATGATGCAATTGCCTAACGATGCGTTTTTGAGAATGTATCCCGTCGTTAAGCAGTGCATGAGTGTAGTCTGAAGAAATTGCAAATTTTAAAAGGGTTTGACGTGTTCCCAGGGCATAATTTATAAACCAAGAGAATCTTTCTGTCACTTTCATATTTGAAGTTATATGGCAATATTGCCCACTTGATATCACTGGATGGCATGAAGAGTGGGATTGGTAAATGATTGTCCTCCTCAATTATGGGTAAATTCTAGCTGTAAATACTTGACTCAAGGAAATACTTGATGGAATTTTTTTTTTTTTTTTTT